GACTTGACTTGACTTGACTTGACTTGACTGCTACTACTTCTGCTACTACTACTACTACTACTACTACTACTACTACTAGCCATACTACTACTACTACTACTACTACTACTACTACTACTACTACTTCCAAAAATACTACTACTACTACTACTACTACTACTACTACTACTACTACTACTACTACTACTACTACTACTACTACTTACTACTACTACTACTTACTACTACTACTACTACTAGTACTACTAGTACTACTAGTACTACTAGTACTACTAGTACTACTAGTACTACTACCACTACTAGTAGGATTACTACTACGCCTACTACTACGACTACTACTACGACTACTACTACGACTACTATTACAACTTCTACTACGACGACTACTACTACGACTACTACGACGACGACGACTACTACTACTACAGTAATAGTAATAGTAGTAGTGTTAGCACTAGTTGTTGTTGTTATAGTGGTGACACGGGGGGCGCAGCAGTGCAGCAGCAGCCACGCGGCTTGCAGGCCTGGGACAGCATCGCGTGGCGAGACACATGATCCAACGCTCCGATTGTATCGATGAACAGCACCGTTTCACGCAGGTCCATTTCAGTGGCGAGGCGGACCAGCGCTTCCGTGCCTGCATGGGTGCTGAGGCCAGACTGAAAGGGCATGCAGGGCTTGCAAGTCAGACGCATACTCTTGCGCGAGCGTGCGCCCGACTAGCCGCCGCAGCACGTCGCCAACAGCGAGAGCCCGCACGCGACCGTTGGGCTTGCGGCTTGCGCAGGGCGACTGTTCGGCCAGCTCGGATGGCAGCGACGACCAGTGCTGGCACCTCAGCACGTGCAAGCCGCTCGGCAGCGCGGTGCAACAGCGTGCAGTCGGCCTCGTCGTCGAGCAATATGCGCTAGTGTTCGTTGGTCATGCCTGAGGGTCCAGCGGCCGATCCTCGTCTGGCGGTTCGCAGGGATGCGAGGAACTGATGCAAGGGGAGCGCACACTGTTCTTTCGAGGATCTCGGGATCGGGAGGTGCATCAGGAGCTTGGGGTCGGTTCGCGGGGTCACGGAGCTCTTGGAGCGTGTCATAGCGTGTCGGAAGAACTTGGGAGACGAGGGCCCGTGCAGCAACCGGCTGGGGCGCGGTGCAGCAGCATGCGGGCGGCGAGGTAAAAGAGCTTCCAGCCCTGCAACGTGGAGTCGGCGGAGCTCTCATCCGCAACGAGCTGCAGCCCTGCTCGGAATGCAGTGCGCAGCGTGCTGCGGACTCGCACCGGCACACGTTGCAGTGCGAGGACGCACTTGCGAAGCGTGGCTGCGAGATCTAACGCATCCAGCATCTGCAGGCCTGCATGGAAGACCGGCTCAGCGGAGAGCATCCATCGCTGGGATGCTGTGGTGGGTTCAGGCACGGGCTGTTGTGTTTCCAGCTCCGGGTCCGCAACCTCCGCGGCAGGCGAAACACGCGAGGATGCGCGACGGCCTCCCCCACGGCCCCGACCTCCGGCGTCCCTCGGCCGCCGGCGCGGCGCTCTGCTTCGATGACGGCCAGTATGTAACCATCAGGCTGGGCGCAGAGCAACAAAGCGGCATGCCGCGGAAGCGGTGCGTCCGGCAGCGACCCAAGCCCGGCCACTACTGCGTCGTCGGCTGCGCTTCCCGCGACCGCCTCTTGCGCATCCAGCTCCGCGATCGCGCGGATCAGACGGGCCAGTGTATGCGGGCTGACCGCCGGTGAGTTGCGCAAGTTTTCGACGAGCGGACGAGCGTTGCCCAGTGTTTGCAGAAGTTGGGCAGCTCGGACGCGGTGGCGTCTGAGAAGCGCCCAGCCAAGAGCGTCGGGAACCTGGCGCGACTTGTGGGGGCCCACTGTTACCCATGGTGCGGCGTGTGTCGAGGGCGGATCATATACAAACGCTGTCTGTACATGCCACTCCTGCTGCGCTGCCCGCGATCTATGCTCCGGCCTCGCAGCAAATTGCATTGGGAGCACTAAGCAGACACGAGCCGCACAGGGTCATGCTAGCAACGCTCGATGTGAGAAAGGGACGTCTCGAAGGCGCCCTCATCACAAGCGGCAGCAGCAGCAGCAGCAGCAGCAGCAGCAGCAGCAGCAGCAGCAGCAGCAGCGTGTTGTTATCCACGTATGCGATGCTCTCTCCGATCCGAACTTTTGCCAATATACTTGCCGCAGGACCGGTTTAATGCAGGGCGCCGAAAAGCCTCTTTGATGGACGCGGGCAGCGTGCCAAGCTGCGATATGCTGCGATTGCTCTCGCAAAAGACCAGCAACCGAAGCTGTCATTCGACGCGTGCCGTGCGATCTGTCTCAATGCTGGGCTTCGCAGCTTGCTGCGGGGCACGATGCGTCTTCGCTGCTCTGGCACGAGCTTTTGTGGGGGATTCAGCAAAGGCGAAGGGCGAAAGTAAGTTTATGAGAGTGCGACAGTGCCCACAGCTTGCCTGCTCCAGGCACCCTCGCACTGCAACCAAGCAACATTGTCCAGTTCCAGCTTCACATATGCCAGGTCATCGTACAAACTTTGCCCACCCATTGTTCGGAAAGCCTCCACGGCAGCAATGAGGGTGACATACCTTGCTCGCAGATGCAGGCACGCAGCCGTATCCAGCTCTCAGTCGTGGATACTCGTCCAAATGCCAGCGAGCTACACTCCACCAAAGAAGCAAAGGACGAGTCCAATCACAGCTTTCAGCTCGTCTGCCGGAAGCTTCACGAAAATGTCGTAGAAAAATGAATAGAGGCCTGTCTGTTGCACAGAGACACAGAAAGCAAGCAGTCAACGCTTGCAACATCATTGCTTTAGTCTCGATTGGCGGATGATTGTGTGAATTGTGTGGTGTGAAACTGGGAGCCGAACAGTGGTGTGAGCAGTGAGTAGTAGGCGGCATGCCATGGGGTGACTGTGAAGCTGGCTGGCATGCGCGTCAGCTGCGACTTCAATGCGAGCGAGTCGCTGAAGTAGCCCTGCACGACCTGGGTGATCTTCATGTGCACAACCGCCGTTCAATGTCACTTGGCTCAGAATTTCGTTCAGTGTCCGCTCTGCAGTGCATGAGTCAATACTGTGGTGCCCCACTGCTCGAGCAAATCCGAGAGCTCCCAACCTGGCTGGCAACCGTAGCTTCAACCAAGAGTGTCACACATGCAGCAAGGCATCTCCAGCACGCAGCACAGACGCTTGCAGGCGCACGGTAGGAAGGAGTGGGACATTGAGCACTCACTTTCGACCGAGTCGCACCCAGGGCTTCAACTTCTCCAGGGTCTCTTGCAACTTGGGGTCGTCCTTTGCTTCTGCAGCAGTCGAAATGAAGCGCGAGACCTGCATCACATCGCAGGAAAAGCGATTTGTGGACTCGCAAAAAGCACCAAAATCCCGAGTCCCGAGCGACAGGCCTTCGGATTCCGTGCCAAGGACTCGAAGAAGCTAGTTTTCGGCAGCAAAGGCTGCGCAGTAGACATACCCGCAGCGCACTCCTAATTCAGACACTCCACACTAGTCAAAACTGAACATTACGGTTTGAGCCAAGCTTTCGCGCATCTCGCATGCCACAACAGCAAATGAAACGGGACATATCCAGTCGCTTAACCTACCAGTTGCACAGAGAAAGGCATCCGGCATGATGCAGCTACCGTGAAAGCCCTCGTTTTCAGTCCGCCATCGCTTTGGGATGTGCTCCATCCACCAACCGACCCAGACAGGGATGCCTGTTTCCCAGCCAAAGTACACCGGCTTCTGTGCGCTTCCACAGGCAGTCAGCACATGGCGGGACAGTGAATTCACAAATTAGTAGCACCTTTGGTGTCTTGCAAGGCTAGGGAGTTCGTCCACACAGGAAAAGCCTCTCTTGTTAATATTCCGGCACCATTTGGTGTGGAAGCACGGGACGCAGCCATGGCCTCACCACGACGGGCAGCTTGCAAAATGATTCGACTGGAGCTGGCAAAGCGTGCAGGCGCGAAGGCTCCAGTAAGGATCATGTCGAAACTCACTTGAGAGCCTCTCGGCACGAGGCATTTGGGCCACCAGCCCAGCTGAACCTGGTCAGGTGCGCGGGTGAGGCCTTCGCATGCTCCGGGTCGGGCTGGAAGTACCAGTGCTTCACAAGGCGACGTGTTTTCACTCTGCCAGCAAGATGCGACATGGCCATATCGAGGCCCTGTACAGGATCACGATGTAAGGCGCTGTACAACTGATCTGCACACAAAAGCGACTGTTCAGCCAAGTTAGGCCGAGAGTTGTGACAAGGCCACCACCGGCAAGCCTGGCAAGCAGGCTCCGAGGCGCTGAGGCAGAGGTTTGGAATTGGTGCTGCTGCGCCGTCGAAGGCTGGAGCTCGATGCGAAGGAAACCTCGGAAGCGACGAAAGATCCGAGGCTCTGCGTCTCGTCGTCCTCCGTGGTCGCACTGCCTATGACCGTAGGCTCTGGCACAAAGTCCGCGCAGGAAGGCTCTGACTCTTCAGCCGGTTGGCATCGGATTGCCATGATCACGACACTGAAAAGCATGCATGTGGCTCCCAAGAGCTTCATCGGCTTGGGGGCATCATTCATCAGTACTGTTTGTGCCACATAGCCTGAGATCATACTTGCAGATGTGAAAACCGTTGCGCTGACTGCAGCCGGACACCTCGTCGCTCCCGCTGCTGGCAGCATAATGGAAAGCAACACCCAAGCTGTCATTGCGGAGAGCAGCGCCAGGGCTTGCCAAGGCTTGTCAGCTACAAGCTTGAGACCGTCCTCTGATCCAGAATGCAAACCCAGGGACGGCGGCACGAAAGCCAGCGGAACGCTCAGAAACAGTGACAAGACGGTCAGCAGTGAGACCGGGATGTGGGTGGACTTGCGGGCACAGACGAAAGCACCGGCTTGGAAGCACCCTGCCAACATCGCCAAGCAGTAGCCAAGTGGAGATTGCTTCGACCCCTCAGTGATGCCGAACAGAAACTGCGGCTGCGAGATGAAAAGAGCGCCAGCAACTGAAAGAACCAAGGCAAGGAAGTGCAGCATGCTGACTCGCTCCCCCAAGAACAGGAGGCCCAAAAGTGCAGCAGCGATGATGTCAATGCTTGTAAGCGCGGCCACGTCACCCGGAGCGGCTCCAACCAGCACTGCATAAATGGCCAGCATCCAATGTAAGTTCTCGAAGAGAGCTCGCGCAAAAATCCACTTCACATCCGGTAGCTTCGGGCAGTTGACCCCCTGCCACCACAATACGAGGCCGTTTGCCATCGTTCCGACAGAACAACAAGCAGCCAACAAGTACCAATACGGCCAATGCATGTCCTCGATGGCTTTGCTGGTCACCATCTCACAGGTCACAGCAAGCCCAGATGCAGCCATGAGCAGAATGCCAACTGCTTCAGTGGAGCAGCCCATGTTTCTGCGGCTCTGGATCGATGCTCTCCTTCTCTCGCTTTCGAGTCGAGCCGAACCAAGGCTGAGTTTTCACAGAGTGGCAGAGCCGGAGATGGGGAAAAGAAATCATCCCAAGTACGTGAACCTTCCTGAGTGAGCGAATGAGCCCCGCCTGCAAAGGAGGCTTTCGTGCTGGATCAGGCGCCCACCTGTTGTGGCGCTTGTGCCGCGGAGTGCACCCTGGACTGTAGTCGAACGACACACGGCAGACTCACTGCTATCCGATCTCGCCCACTCTGTGCCTCATCTTTTATGGGCTGCTGGGCTGCTCAACCATCCGCTGCCAGAAAGGAGCCTCTCACACGGGGGAACCTACACCTAAAGAGTCAACGAGTCTCCATGCCTGCTCAGCGAGCGCATGTCTGCCGGCATGCCAGTCTGCCTGCCACATGGATCTCCGTGCAGGGCTACAACTTCGTCATGGCGCAACCTCGTGCTTTGGCGTGGACCAGTGGCAGCTCAGCACCCAGCCTCGCTGCAGACGCATTCCGGCCTCCACAAGACGGCTAGGCCAAGTAAACATTCGCTACCATCTCCATCCTCATCTCACCCAGCCTCCGATGCTGGCACGGAAAAAGCCCTCCGAGCTCTTTGGCACTTTGCATTCTGCCTGCTTGTTCGGCCTCTGCTGCGAGTGGAAGATGCAAGTGTGTTTCACCCAACCATGAACCCACATGAGTTCACAAAAAGGCCCCAACTGTCAACCTACGACGCTACATTCCGAGTGCAGAACGACTCTGCCAGCTTCGTTTGATAGCCTGGTTCAGCCAGCCAGGCTTGACCAACACACTCAGCACGCAGCACACCGGTGAAGGCACACAAGAAAGGCCCGCAAGCGATCTTACCGACAGTCAGAGCACCTCGTTGCGCTTGTAGCTGGGCTTGAAGTCGGGCCTTCCTCGGCTTGGAAGACACGAGGTTCCCTGCTAGCGGGCGCGGAGCACGCAGAAAGCACAACAAGGTGGGACCCTGGACTTGGCGATTCACCGATCGCATGCGCCAGGTGGCACCGCCTGCATCCACAGGTCGGCAACAACCCATCTGCCAGTAGTCGTCATGACCCGACACGGCATTTCGCCGACTTGGCGAAACGAGCCACGAGCCAGACCTCTTCTGCAGGGTACGTATGGTACAATACTCCGGAACGAAGAAGTTTGATGCAAGTAGCATCCTCTGGAGACGTTGGGACATCTGGCACGCTGCCCTGGTGCGTCCAAGCCTTCGGCCCAGCTGCAGCATCCGGTGCATCTGCCAAGAGCTCCTCTTCGAGTTTGCCGTCTCGAGGTGCCGTCTCAAAGTTCGGAGCCTCTCCTCGCTCAAGGCAGGCGTCGCTTCTGCCTTCAGCTGCGACAGGAAGGCGAGGCCTTACAAAAAACTCCTGACCTGCAAAGCTGAGAATGCAACACTTCTATGCAAGCGCCTCACAGGAACTTTTGGTGGGGCTCTGGAACGTGCACCCTCACCCGTCAAACTCGGCAATGCCTTTGCTTGGTCTGTTTGGGGCCAGAGCTGCCTGCGTTGAGGACCAGATGATGGGAGAGCGCGGCTTCAAGAATGCCTTTTGCAGTACCTGCCTTGGGAAACCAAGCTCTCCAATGCCTCGACGGCATCCACGGGACTTCCACACTCTACACATGTTCAAGGTCTCAGCTTCCAGTTCCGCCTGCATGCGAGCCCTCTGGTCGGTGAGCTCGTCCCGACTCTTTTTGAGCTCGGCATCCAGACGGAATGAGCGTTGGCGCTCCATAGCCGCAGCCTGACGCCAGGCAAGCGAGGAGTCTGGCAAAGCGATGAAAATCAGTGGCGGAGCCTCGCCTCCTCGCATGCAACCACCTCATCTCGCAGGGCCTCCAAAACAAGCCGGCGCCACTGGAGGCCACAAAAGCGTCCTACCGGCTAAATGAACAGATGCGACCTCTGCAGTCGCATTGGCGGAAGCGATCTGCCGCAGGAGCTCTGACTGGGCCTGGGCTCCATCCACAGGCCACCCATTTGTTGGGGACTCCAAGTCAGCACGACCTTTCCGTTCCTCAGATCCTCGCGGCATCGTTTGAAGCTCTGGGTGTAACTTTGCGATCGCGATCCTGAACACGCCTACACTTCTCAAGCCTTGACCTGGCTTCCATGCTCCAAGAAGATCCCAGGAAGACGATGGACTTAGTAATCAGTAACAAGGGAGTCGTAGTCCTCGTGGTTTCGAGTATCCTTCGCCTCTACCCTCCGCATGCGAACCCGGGCCTTTTCGGCCTTTCGCCTGACACATTTTCCCCTGAGATTTCAAGGCGCTGCCTCCTCGGCACGGCGGAGGCGCTCCTGCCAGGACTTCAAGGGCCGAACGTCGGGCTGACGTACGCAGAAGAAAACTGGGCTTCGATTTCGGGAAAACGCTCGCGATACGCCGCGATACCTCGAGTCGGGGCTCGGGAGCGTTGGCTGGCAGACGTGTCTGGAAGTCTAGGCCTAGGGCCTAGGCCGGGCCTAGGCCTCTCTAAGCTGTGCGAGGCGGCCTCAGGTTCCAGATTTTCTCCATCGCACCAGCGCGACTCTGAGCATGTGAAACCGATTAGCTTGGGAATTCACACTCAGCACGATGTGCTCCAACATGAAGCAGTATTTATCTTAGATCACCTAGACTAGTGAACAGTGCTGCTCACGCTCTGCTCCCCTTTGACAGTGTCCGTGAAAGGAGGGCGTGCTGCTTAGGCGAAATTCGCGCCGCTGCTCGGTGAAGGAAAGAAGCTCTGAGGTGCACCTCACAGCTGCACTGATTTCGACCCGCCCAGACAATGCAGAGTTTGGGATGGCGCTATGAGGGCAAGCATTGCATCACCACGATTACTAAAGACCGTGAATGGAACATTTTGAGAGGCTGAGCATGGCGCCGACCGAGCGGGCACTCTGCGGCGTGGGCTTCTTCTCTGACTGTGGCGTAACATCCTTGTCCGCGGGAGATTCCCGGACGAAGTGTTCCTCCGTCGGCACGTCCACGGAGTCACGGGGCAACGCCGACTTGAAGTCTACATCGCTGGTCGGCGCTGGGAAGAAGCTCTGAGGATTGCCTGAAGCGTCCACCAGGCGTCTCCAAGCAGGCAAGGCTCAAGCAAGCCACCACGATTCTAGGCCCTGGACCCATCGCTGCACCCCCAGCGGACTGCGGCACAGCTGCCGCCGGCGCGGCAGTATCAGAGTGGGCAAACCTGAGACATCTCCAATGCTCGGGGCAGCACGACTAAGCAAAATCTGACTGGACACTTCTGAACCCAGCTTCGCAAATGCTGCTTCCTTTGTCCCAGCAGATGTGCAGGCTCACATGAGCGGTCTTCGTGCAAATGCTGCACATCATGTGGCGCTTTAGCACTCGGAGACCTCGACCGGAGTCTCGTGAAAGCCTTGAAAGAGCCTCTGCACTGATGCAAAGGCGTGAAACCACTTCAAACGGGGAGACAGTCAGAGTTGAAAAAAAAGCGAAGTCACCACTGAAGGACAATACGGAATGACTCCATCCGCTGTTCCTGCAGTTGCTTCATCGCTTCGTTCACTTCCGAAAAGGGTCTGATCTGGGAGGTTGTCCACGCGGAAGACTGGGAGAAAAAGTCTAGGTTGTTGTACACCAGATGGAGCATCTCTTTCGTGCGCCTTCTGCCACAGGCAATGGAGCCAACAACCTTTCTTGCACTGAAGATGAGGGGGTGCCAGCTTGCCTGAAGCTCTGCATCAGAAGCGAAAGGAATACCTACCCGGACAAAAGTCCCATTGATCTTCAGGAGCCTCATGAACTGGTTAAGTCCCGTGTTCACCGGAGATGTGTCGAAGAAGACGTCGATGCTGTTCTCGGCCCTCATCATCGAAGCCGAACTCGCCGTGTCCACAAACTCATCCGCCCCCACCAGCAGCGCCGCCTCACGCTTCCCTGTGCTCGCACTGAAGACAGTGACCTTTGCAGCCATCTTCTTTGCCAGCTGCGTTCCCAGCGTGCCGAGCCCACCGAAGCTACCAATGCCTACACGGGATCCGGGCTTCACCCACGAGCACAGTGCCTCGTACATGGCAGCACCTGCACCCATCAAAGGGCACGCAAGTTCTGGTGGCAGGCTTGGGGCTAGCAAGAATGCGAAAGCCTCCTCGACTCGCACGATCTTTGAGAAGCAGCCACCAAATTCGTTGCTGGGCACCTTGCCGAAAGGGCCGGCAGAGCTGCCGAGGAAGGTACCTTGGTAGCCGGTCTCGCAGAGATTCTCCATGCCCTCGCCGCAGGCATCGCAGAGTCTGCAAGAATCCCGAATCCAGCCAACTCCAACCCTGTCACCCACTCTCAGGTGTTGAACTTTGCTTCCAAGCTTTCGGACCGTTCCATAACCCTCGTGGCCAAGGACAAGTGGGAAGTCCGAGACTCCCCAGTCGTTGTCACGCATGTGTAAATCCGCTCGGCTCAGACCACAATGGCTCATCTCCACCTCCACCTGGGTTTCCGTCAGTGGCGGTAGGAGAATGCTTTGGAGCTCCATGGCCTCTCCCGCAGCTTTGATGACGTAGGCCTCCGTCGGCAGAGGCGCGGCTTCATCCTGCTCCTCTGCCATCTAAACACCTAGGCCCTAGGCCCTAAGCTCGCGAGAGTGGTTCTGCCCTTCGGGCCAAAAGCCAGCTTTGGCGCAAAGGCTGTGTGCGTCTGCGTCTCCCAAACCAGAAGCTCTTGTAATGTTTGGTGTGCCAAGCTCGTGGCGCCATGGAAACGCCAGGGTTCATCACTGGCACCTTAGCTCTGCTGTCGAATTCAAAGTGCCCACAGGCAGGCCCTCCTCACAGTCGCACGTTAGTCCCAGGCCGATTTCATTTCGGGAGCAGCTTGGCCCATGCTCGCCATGAACTGAAGCTTGTTGGAATACGCGGAGAGGGACCTTCAATGCGTGTTTGCCCCGACCCCTACGAAGTGGCAAGTTTTGTGCATCTTCCATAACTCTGGGGACGAGCTTGCAACACTCGGAGCTCAATTCGTCTTGACCGAAGAGCACTGAGTTGTAAGTCATCTCCGTGATCTCCTCTGCGGCGGACCACACCACGTAGATCTGGCTCAAGCTCTTGCGTTACTAGCGGGGGCCAGGGTGCTGCGACCTGACAAGTAAACAGGTCGGTGCCGCCAGATACGCGTGAAGCAACGCAGCCACTGTCGTCCACATGAACACGAAGCTCTCCTGTCCCCCGTTCTTTGATTACTTTCTCCAAATGCATGGTTGCCCTTGTTTCAGCATCTTGCACACACGACGTGTAATTAATGTATACTGATGTATCCCATGCATACAAAACCGTGGTCGTCGTTCCTGTTGATGTGAGGTGCAATAAGATGATGCTTCCCTGGAAACCTTCCGCAGTGCTTCCCCGGGCGATGTTTTGCTTCCACGAATAGGGGATCACGACTTCAGGAGGCAAATGCTTGGGCAAACTCTGCTTGGGCCTGCGCCCGCTGTTGACCGTGTGAAACTGAACGACATTTCTGTGTTTCATAATAGTGAGGAATTCCAGCTGTGAGCATGCATCAATTAAAATCGGTTAAAAGGCCTTTTATGAAGGAATGCCGCCGACGGAAGGCGATGCTCTGCTGCCGATCGCATCACTCCCTTCCTACTTCTGACAAACTTGTCATTCTTGCCCGTTTTGAGAAGGGCTTGATTGGTGGTGGGGTCACGTTGCTCGCAAGTTGCCTCACCACCTATACCTCTGGAACAGGAAGCGCCCACTAAGCAATTCCTGGTGGGAACATGATCCCGGATGCCACGAAACAGCTGAGCCCTGCTACGATACGTTGCTCGCCTGAGCATCGGAACTTTCAGCTGCTACATGCCATAACATTAGCTTGTCACAGTCGCAAGCGGGCTCCGTAAAACCGCAGACGAACACGGAGCCAAGGCGTTGGATTTCATCTTCGACCACACTGTCACAGACCTCACCAGGAAGTAAACACTTGGACACATTGAACTCGCGGATTTCTGCCGAATCTGAAGCTTCTGCTGTCTTCTTCTCTTCGGGAAACTCTGGTGGGCTCGGCTCTAACTTCGACATGAAAAAAAAAACCTGTCCCTTGGCCTGCCTTGCCGGAGAGAAGCAGCCAGGCAGACACGGAAATGCCCAGCGGGAAGCTGATGACCAAGTACCAGAAAAGAGTCCTGCACTTCGTTTGCATCTGCTACTTTCTGCATATGCTTGCAACACGTGCTGTTCCGGCTTCAACTTCGGTGGAAGGGAGAGGCCGCATCCACGACGACTTTATCCTACTGACCGCAGCTTCGAATCGCGTCGGATGAAGGATCGTACCTAAACCTCACCGTCTTGTGGGAGGTGCGGGAGGTTATGCAAACAGCCCTGTTTCTAGTGAAGAGAGGCCGGCCGCACCAGCCCGTTTCGTAGATGTAGTGTGTGAACGAGACGCAAGCTCGCCCGATTGCCGCCAAAGCTGAGCATCCAGCAGGGTCTAAGCGCCGACATCATTCCAGCCCGGCATGGCGCCAAATTGCCAAAGCAACACTTGCAGCACTGATCCCCAGGCCTCAGCAAGTGGTCGACGTGGTAAAGGACACCTACACCGGCGGCGATCACCACAGGCATTCCGGCCTCAGACAGTTGATCCAAACGAGGCGTCTGCCGACATGATATGTGGTGCTGCTTGATCTTTCTTCGCATTTGTCCGGTCGAGTGACGAGCGCCCACGAGGCACAAATCACTTGAATTTCTGGGGACACCTGCAGCCGTTGAAGGCCACTTTCATTGTTGTGCATGTCGCGGCAGACCGAAGTTCTAACATGCCAATGTGCAATATATCGGACAAGCTCTCCAGCTTTCCACCTTCAGGCCCATAAGCGACAAGGTCTCCGCAGAAGAGCATAGGGAGATAATGGTAATCCTCGGCAAAGCACCAGATAAGAAGAAAGGACTGCTCTGATGCAAACGACATAGGCTGCTTCTCTGCCATCTCCACGTCTATGGAACCACCCACTGTTCGGGCCATAGAAACCTCTCTCAGCATCGATCCCTATTGCGGGGTCTCCGCGGAAACGCTAGAAACATCGCGTGTGAATATGAACAACAAGCTTGCGACACACATCTGCGGGCTACGCTAGCTGAAACAGAAGAGTGGGCCACATCCAAGGCAAGGAACCAATTGGCCCTCAAGTGACTCCCAGGGTTGCAGTCCCGACCTCCCGGCGCTACCTGCCTCATTAAATGGCAAGCCGGACTTGCAACCGTGCAACTGCACCAGCAGCGAGAGGAAGCAGGTAGCCTCCGCATGACGCAGCGCACTCACATTGAACAGGGAAGCAAACCGGCAATGCATGGCATGACTTTGTCGAAAGTGGGTCTGAAAGTTGTAACCTGTACCTTGTCCAATATTTGAGACGTGCCGCCTCCACCCCCACAGTGAGGGTGCAGCACCCGAAGCAGCCGTGCCTGGGCTCCGAAGCTTGAGGGAGGAAAGCCCCTGCATGTCCAAGAAGATCGTCTTAAGGACCATTCATCGATTCGTCGAAGCAGATCCCACTTGCCGATTCCAACCAAGTTGCGCCGGCCGCACCTCAAACAGCAAGCAGAGAGAGAGAGAGAGAGAGAGCGAGCCGATGTCTTTCATGATGACGTGCTCTACAAAAGTGAACACGAAGAAGTGGTGAGTCCATTGACAGCTGGCTTGGGACAAGCTGCCTTCCACATCTCGCCGACTTCGTTCGCGACCTGATCGCGGGCAAGCATTCACTTGGGACCACTTTCCGTTCATGCTTTGAGTGAATTCTGCGGGTTTGCTCGCGCTTCATGACCTGCTAAAGAGGCTTTGAAAAACCTCGCATTCACTGCCTGAACAAGTTTGACACCGCGCTTCCTAGCTTGTAGCTATTTTGACTCCTGGCTGTTGATCACGGTCTTGCTATCCAGAGCCGGCCTGCTCAGGTCAGGGCTTTTGCCAGGCCCCGGACGGGGGCTCAGTGCCCTCTTGAGCCGACCACGCAGCCGATCACGTAGCCATGCGTAGCCATGCGTCTGTGACCTGAGACCTCCCTGCGGCACCAAGCGTGTTTCAAGGACTCTTCTTCAAACTCCCCGAACCCCCTTTCGCAGGCCTCGAGGCCCCGAAGGCGCGCCGCCTGCGAATTCTCGAGGCTTCGACTTCTGAGTTCACTGGAACGGGCCTTTATGTTGCGGGTTGTAAGCTTATGTATGGGTTTAATGCTTCTTTAGATTCTTTAGGGTTTAGAGCTTATTTAGGTTGAGGGTTTAGAAAACTTTTAGGGTTTATGTTGGGTCTGGGGTTAATTTAAGGTTTAGGGTTTAGTCTTTGCGGTTTGGGGTTACAAGCCACAAAGGACTTTGGGCTTTGAACTTTTGAGGTTCAGGCTCACAAGGTTTGGGCCAAAGGGGGCTGGGGTTACAGCGCGCAAATGTTTGGGTGGGCTTTGTCTCTTACATGGCTGTTCTCCATCTGTCGGAAACGCTGTTGCGAAGTGTACAGCAGTCGGTGCGTGCAAGCGGCGCGAAACTGCGTGGGAAGTGGAAAGAGAGAGAGAGAGAGAGGCCAAACAATACTGCCATGAAACAAGAGTTGTCTGACTACTTCCTCATTTGCCATTGCGGCTAATGGGCCCAACCACTGCGACGAAGAACGAGTCCGGTTTTTGCAATCAAAGCGAAGAACATGATGTCTCGGGGACGTGTGAGGCGTTGCCAGGGTGTTCGTCGGTTATGAAGGTGCTGCGAACAAGATAATCTGCGAGAGGAGAACGGCCGCCTCTTTGTGCAACACCGCCTTGTCGGCTTCATAATTACGACCAAATTGGCGAAACCTAGAATGCCTAAACTCAGAGTTCCTGACATTGCCGTCGGGGTGTGTCCCACTAAACCATTGAGACGAAGGTGCTTGTGGCTACTGTTCACCCGTAGTCTACCTCGTGGGCATCACTGTCATCTTTATGATGTAGAGATAACTAAAAACTGAGAACAGGACAACAGAAGCTTGCAAGCAAATCGCGTAGATCCCTGGCGCACTGTTCTTTTCCGATTGCTTTCAGTTCGGTGACGCAGTCTGCGGTGAACTTGAACCGATGAATCTCGCATTTCTAATTGAAGTGTCTCTCGAGACTGTGATGGCCGACCGTTTCCCTGCCGGAACTCGCAGACTGAAGGCTGAGGAAAATCGTAATAAACGCGAGGAGGGCGGGAGAAAATAGTATGAGGACGATTCGTTCACCAAAATGGCGACGGAACGCATATAAGTTCATATCGATCAGCATTTGCAAATCCTCGAAGTCGATCGATTGAAGCATGAAAAGCAAAGAGTTGTCACTTCGCACACAAGTGTGCTACTCTGCAAGCGTGGCGGTACTGCGAGCTGGCCGGAAAGCATGCTGTGTTAGGCCTAATGTCTCGTCGTTGTCGTGGACTGTGTCATCTCAGTACTCTAAGCTTGATGAGTCTGATGAGCGCCTGTGCAATTGGTCTGTAGGCAAACATGTCCGACTCACGACGAACACGGTCTGAGTCAACAGCACCAGCCTTAGCCTGTACCGAGTTGCTTTGACCAGCAAACAAGCTGTGTTCGGCGGTCGAGGTGATTCTGGTGTGTTTCTGAACCTAAACCCGAAAACCAACTTAGCCCAAGTCCGCCTTGGCCCCGCCCAATTTTGGTCTCATCCTCCAACGTCTTATCCCATTGCAATCCCCCACACACACACACATGCATGTTGACACCTGTTACAAAAGTTGCTTTCAGAAATAGTACGACTTAGTGCGCTTGCGCCAAAAACCTCGGCCTGCCGGGCCAACTCGCCCTCCAGGCCCTCGGACCTCAGGCGAGCCTGCCGGGCCGGGGCGGGGCTTGTTTCCGTCGCTTCCTTGGGAGGTTTCCTCAGCTTATTCGATGCAATGTACTCTTCTGAGAAGTATAGTAGCTTGTGCCTCATAGTGACAACAATAACAACAATAATGCTAATAAGACTACGTAATAATCATCATCATAAGGATCATAATCATCTTCATCCTCTGGTGCACCGTGGTCTTGTAGTGCGCCAGTTGTCTATTCAAGCCTTCGGGCTTTGGAGCTCTATTTGGTTGTGTTCCATTTCTTTTTGCCAGTGATGGCTTCGGCGGGTAGCGAACGTGTCCGGCTTACATTTCCTGGACATGTGAGCGCCTTCATTGACCGGTTCGGGGCATGGGACAGCTGATTTGGCGAGTCATGTTTGGAGCCTGTACAGCTTGGATTGGCACACATGCCGCATGCGTGGTGGTGGCCGTCTGCTGCAAAGGCTTTGTCGTGCCTCTTCCAGCTCTTCCTCACGTCGCCTGATCAACTCCCGACCTCAAAGGCGCGAAACACAGCCCAAGACATCTACTGTTCATTTAGAATGGTGGGGTTGCTTTGCAAGTATCCTTGCGGCACATGCAGGCAGTGTCATGCGCTGCGCACTTTTTCCAGGTTCACTGGAGTATTCATCCAGCCCCACTTCACACTTGAACAGGCGCGAAGCGAAGGGACTCAACGTAGCCGAGCTGTCAACCCCTTCCTGAGCACACCTTACTTTGCTGTACCGACTCACTGCTTGGTTACTCTTCATTCAGCCGCCTTGTGCAAGCTGGTCCAAGCACTTTTCGATTCGGACTGGAACGAAAGGGCCGGTCTCAGTTTTTCGGCTTTTGCTGTAAAACAGATCCGAAACCCCGCATATAACCCCGCATAAACCCGCAGCACCGGGAGCCCGTCTTGTCACCTGGCGCTGGCCGGCCACCTCCAAGGCGCTGAGAGCCGCCGCCTCGGCGGCCTGGAAAGCAGCTCTTGCAGGACTCTGGGCTACAAAGGGGCTACCACCCTCTCAATCCTACGAGTAGAATCTCCGCCAACTCCGAAGTCAGTGAACAACGCATGGGCTCCCGCCAAACCCTAGCGACAATCCCTCGACTCAGCCGGACCAAATCCTCCGAAGCAAAGCCGGAGCAGCCTCGGCAGAGACTCGAGCGTTTTCGGCCTGAGTTCAGCGAACAGGCGCTTGCGACTTGATGGTGGGGAAGCTCTTTCCATGCTACTTGTAGCAAGGCCCTGGCGCTTGTGACGCGCTCACTCTGCAGCTTCGCCTTTCTGGCACTGGCCGTTCCGCATCGGTGTCACTGCGACCGGCACCCAGCCTGCTTGTGGGCCTCAGCTGCCTCGTCCTGGAGCCGATGCCTGCGGAAGCAATCGGAGGGGGTGCAACATGAGGAGGCCCGGAGCTCTGATCCCACCCGCCTCTGCTGCTCCAGGGCCTGTGCAACGTGCCACGTCCTGACTACGGCACGAATTTAGGAGCATGTGCTGTTAACTTTGTTAGGTCTCAAGCGTCTTTGGCCTGCGCAAAAGATGCTGCAGCTTCGTGGCCTGCTCGTAGATTCGGCTTCTGACTTCTGTCCCTCCATAATCGCTTCCGGTGTTCATCAGCCGTTTCTAAAATTTCCAGACCTCTTCGTCTCCGCGCAGGGCTGTCTGAACTAGCGCTGAAAGCTGGCAGAGCCTCTCCAAAGCAAGGCACTGGTAATGTTGGTGACTTGCTGCGGACTCAGTTACCCCAAATTTGCTCAAAGACAGAATTTTCTGTCCACGCACAGAAGCAGATAGGGTATCGCCCCAGCACAGTCGGCGCACCCATCATCTTCCAGGTCATCAGCGTCGCAGCTCGGTGCCTGCGAGGCGGACCAAAGGGCGGAAGTGCCTCTAAGACTGAGAAGCCATGTGCAGACCACGGCCACGGCCCAGCCTCGGAAGCAAAGCCCACGGTGTGCCGCCTGCTTGAAGGAAGCACTTCTTGCCCCACGCTTTTCAAGGCAATGCTTCGCTGGGCATGGTGCCGCCGGAGTGGAGAAGCCAAGCTCCACTGCCGATGCGGCGAGTCTGACCGCCATCCCTGCTGCATGAGGCAACTGTACACGCCGGTCACCGGCTGTACGCAAGAGGCCGGGATCCTTCGCGGGCGAGGAGGAACGGCTCGCGGGCTCCTGCACTGCGAAGCAGAGGAAAATGCCCGCGGCCCGTAGTTTCACTGAACTGCGCTCGGCCTCCTCAAGGTCTTCGTTGGCACCGGAGAAAAGCTGCTCAAGCTTCTCGACATGCCTTGGCCACCATAACATCCCTCTTGCTTTGGCCCCACTTCTCCGAAAAGTTCCCACCCGAAAGACGTGTCGGGGCACCACGGGCCCGGCCCCAGCTGCGCTGCCTCAGAGGCAGGGGCGCTTTGCTGCGTGCCGCGATTTTTGTCCCATGGCTGTCGAGGTTCCAGGGTGTTCGCGACCTCATCCGTGAAGCCTTGGCCAGGCTCACAGCTGGGGACACACGACTTTCTGGCACTCACCAAGACTCTCACCAGCAACAGCTCGAAGAGAGCTTTCTGATACCATATTGTCGGAGTCGGCGAAGTCACCTGGCCGCTCAGTGAGCTGGCGGTTGCCCTTCTTGTGGCAGCACGATACATCTGACAGAGGCATCTACTGCAACATGTCTCTTAGTATAAGAGGGTGCCCCTTGCCCAGGTTTCACGATGTTCTGGACCTCCTGTACATCACAGACCCTACGAGTACCAGAATGGAAAGAAACACCTCGAACCTGGCCCTGGTCGCCTGCAGCCCTCAGCCCTATCCCACCCAAACAAGCCACGGTCCACGAAGTACGTCTTGGAGCCGCGGAATCTCCTGCTTCGAGGGCTCGGTTCTGGTAAACAGTTTCTTTTTCTACGGCTGGATATAAAGATATGTGTGTGTATGTATATATATATATATATAGATAGATAGATATATAGATATATAGATATAAAGATATAGGTATAGCTATATAGGTATAGATATAGATATATAGATATAGATATAGCTATAGATATAGATATATAGATATATAGATATATAGATAAATAGATATATAGATATATAGATATATAGATATATAGATATATAGATATATAGATATATAGATATATAGATATATAGATATATAGACATACAGATATATAGACATATAGACATATAGATATAGATATCGATACAGATACAGATATAGATAAAAATACAGCATAGATATAGATACAGATATAGATATAGATATAAATACAGATATAGATATAGATACAGATACAGATATAGATATAGATGTCTGTATATTTATATGTATATATATATATATGTGTATAATTACACACACACATATGTATATATATATATACACATGTATATGCGCGTGCGCGTTAGACTCCGTCAGACATTCAATTATATTTTTCTCATTCAATCGTATCTAGATTCTAAATCACGTTATTTGCTCTGCACCCGTCTTTTGACCGTTTGTGCTTGACGACCACAGTTGATAGCAAGTGAACCCAAGCAAGCCGCGAGGCACTTTTTTCTGCTTTGGGCTAGGTCTTTGACACTGTCAAGTGTCGATCCGAATGCACGGTGGCGGCGATCTCGGGGGTGGACGGGGATCGCACTGTGGCCTGCCGACAGACGTCCACATGTGGCTGATAATAGTTGCTGCTTCCGTGCAAGTTCATATTTTCGAATCGGTCCCGCCTCAAAAACGGCCGATTTACCCTCGCCAGCAATGCTAATGATGGTGTCCGCATCCCCGCCTGCAAGTGGCTGCATATGCTGCATAATCTGATTTTTGCAGTCACAGCGCTCTGTGTTCGAGAGCGAGATCCAGTCTTTCTTCCAGGGCACAAACAAGGAACGGATCCGAGGAAAACTGCATGAGGTCTGGCAGCTGTGTTGTAAACGCTCCTCATGGAAAGGGCCATGCAGATGGAACTTTCCACCAACTGTGCACTTCACACGGGAAAGCTACTCGGCACCTCCGTGCTTCTCCGCATACGCGTGCTGCGCATAGTAGACTGCCATGGCCGCTCCTCGGCTCGGCCACTCCTGCACCGCATGGCACCACATGCCCCGCAGGGAATCAAGGCATCCGAAACCCCTCCCTCCCCATCCCCGAACCCATCCTGGTAGTAGGTCGCGCCGACCTTCAGCGAATCCTCGAATTGAAGGATTCCCCAGGTCTCTGGTCGATGCATCTGGATGGCGTACCTGAGCAGAGACCGGTACCTGGCAGCTCTTGAGCCTTTCTTCAGTGTTGAGTCTCGGGCTGAGGAGACCAGACCCAGTTGTCCTCGTGCGCTGTTCCCGGTTCGGGACAGGACTGGCAAGAGGGATGCTTTTCGTAGCGGCCAGTGTCAGGATTCACCTAGTCAGGCACAAGATGGCACAAGCAGTCAGCCAAGGCCTCATCAACAAGAGCCAGAAAATGTCAAGCCTTCAGGCCCCACTGAACACGGCTGAAGCTTGCACGCCAGAAGTCGCCAGCAAGGGGAGGCGTTCTGGCGCCTTCCAGCAGAAGCTCACGGATCCCCAAGATTATGCATTGAACAAAGCTGCGCCCTCTTCATGGTTTCAAGAGAACCCGGCCTGTCCGCTCGGCTAAGCTGGCGAGGGGCAGTGCAATCTCGACTGTCCAGTACTCACCCTCAAGGGCCACTCTAATCCGGTCTTCATGCGCACTGCGATGAGAAGTGTTTCAAAGTCGCCGACCCTTCTCTTCGGATTGTTCAGCGACCCCAAAGGTTGCACTTTGCTTGCGCAGCGAAGCGGAGGCTCCATCGTCCAGCCTTTGTCGCCCAGAACACGAGTGGAGTTCTCCTGAGCCATGCGCTCTCTCGGCTTCTGGGTGCTTCGGGTAGCCTTAAGATGCCTTCGCCCTAACTCTCGGAAAGCGAGAAAGCCACAAGAATTGTGAAAAATAACCTGGAAAGTAATGCACCCGTTTCAACAAGCTCCATGGTAAGCTGGCAGAAAACAACATGAAAATAAAAATTCAGCAACAAACGAGAGACTAAAGACAATATTGTGGAACAACATCAAGAATCACAAGCCCCGGAGTGCAACACTTGCTTCGGCAAGCTGTTGCCTTCGTTGTAGAGCTGTCAAGTTGTGTTTGGCCGTCCCGCGCTCCAGTTTGTCTCTTTGGGGTGTGGTCTATTTCCAGCGCGCTGTAACTGTTTCCATTGATTGAAGTCTTGCTCGTGGTTCCCATTAACTATTGTCCCACTCATGTTCCACTGATTGTTCCATGTGTTTTTCCCGGTGTGTTGCCATTTTTCGTGTATTCACAAATATTTGCCAGTGGTTATTGCATCTAGTGGTTATTGCATCTTTATCCCATGCGTGTTTGAAACGCCTGCGTGTCTTTTTACAAATTGCTGGATCTCAGATCGACTGGACAGGGGAAGGAATCAGACACCGAACCCGATTGGAAAATGATCGACAACTCACAGGAATCAAGTTCAAAAACAAGTAGAATAGGAAAGCATCCATGACACAAGGCCTGATATGAAATCAGAAGCAATGCTTCCAGCATAGATGCCTGCATATGCCTGCCCCCAGAGTTTGCTGTTCAGGCAGGCACGTAAGTTTCCGAACTAACGTTGCCGCAGGCAAGCCCTGGCCTCTCATTGCACTGGCAGGTTCCCTCATGTTGCTTGATTACGTTTCATGTTTCCCCATGTCGCGTTTGATTTTTCGTGTGTCCGATTTCCACTGAGGGTCTGAAGTATCCCATTACTTACTATTTCCAGGATTCAAGGCCTTAAATTATTCCTGCCATGGCACGGATCCACCATCGCCGTAAGGTTTGTTCAGGCATAACTCCCAGGTTGTGTTAAAAGCATTCATCTCAAACTCCTTGTAGAAGTGGGTCGTGGCCTGGGACCAGAGGACAAAACATCAGAGCACTGCAACAGCAGCCCCTAAACCCAGATCAGCCCAGGCCACATTCGCATCCACGAAGACCTCGAAATCGTTGTCCTACAGGGGCCCAGGAGCTTCATTGAGAAAAATGCGAGAACTCCGCCACTCTCCCGACGCACTCGTGCCTGGAAGATCACGCTGTCGTGCGCGGTCAGCGTGGCCCAGGGCTCAGGCTCTTGAAGCTCAGCGCCCACGTAAAGAAACCTCTCAAAGACTTCTAGGCCCTAGGCTTCGTTTCTGCACGTTTTGCGGCCAGTTCCAGGCTTCTGGCCCTGAAGCACAAGAGGCCGGGCGGGGGCTTATCCTTTAGACGAGTGTGCAGGTCTCCCAGTTCGCGGGTCACCGAACCACCCCCTCCACAAGTTTTCACGGCACACGCAGGATCAAGTGTACTCCCGACATCGTTGAGACGATGTTGGAGACTTCGCCGATCTTCAAAGCGAAGGCTGCATCCTCGAAGGCCTGCTCCCGCTGGCCCCGATGGAAGCGGCCGTAGTCTCCGCCCTTCTTGGCCGAGGCACAGTCGGATTCGGACTTGGCGAGCTCCGCAAAGCGCTGCCGAAGCTTATCGGCTGAGAGCCCCACCAATTGGTTTGCGATCTCCTCCAAGTACTCCTCTGCCTCCTGCTGACTGCAGGTAATGGGTTGGCCCCCACGGTTTTTGGGCTTCCTGGAGCCCGTGTGCTTGCGAAGGATGTGCATCACATGCACCTGCGGGAACACATTGACAGGCAGCTACGAAGAAGACTGCCTAGTAACGCAGGCTCTTAATTATCTTTCGAATATTAGTCCCCAGCATCTTAACAACCTCCAGCCAGTTCGGTTGGACCTTAAACGGGCACCTCCTCGGGTGAAGCCTTCTCCGGAGGTGGAAGGTTTGATAAAGCTGCCTGCTTCACCTGCTCCAAGGCCAGTGTGTTGTCCGCCTCCTTCAGAAGTCCCAGAAGGCCTAAGCCACCACCCACCACCTCGCCCTCACAGGCCAAGCGCGCTGCGGGCGCCACGTCGATGACCCTCGCAACTTTCGGAGGCGGCGCAGACTCTGTCGCGATCTCGCCACAGCTCAGAATGCTAACCCTCTTGGCCACTTTGCCAGACCTGTGGCCCAGTGCTTCCATCTTTTCGACCACCTCGTATCCCGTCAGCACCTGCCCGAAAACCACGTGTTTGCCATCAAGGTGCGGCGTTGCTGCTGTGCAAATAAAGAACTGGGATCCGTTTGTGTCAGGCCCGGCATTGGCCATGGAGAGACATCCTTTCTTGTGCAGCAAATCAAAGTTTTCATCATTGAACCTGTCTCCGTAGATGGACTCGCCGCCAGTGCCATCACCTCGAGTAAAGTCTCCTCCCTGACACATGAAGCCGGGGATGATCCTGTGGAACACAGAACCCTCGAAGCTTAGCCGATGCTTCGTTCTCACACTTCGGCCCATCTCGCCAGTGCAGAGACATCGAAAGTTCTCCACTGTTTTCGGCACGACCTCAGAAAACAGTTCGAACTCAATACGCCCGATAGACTTGGTCTCAACGGCGATCTCAAAGAAGACGCGCACCGTCTTCGGGTCGGGAAGGTCGGGCTGTTCGGGCTCTGGGTCCCGCGGGGGAGGCGGAGGAGGAGCGCCGGGAACGACGCCCATTTTCGCCAGCAAGGCTGCTTTCTTCTCGGCCGCGAGCCGCGCCTCTTCCTCAACTTGGCCACGCGGTGCCCTCGGTTCCGCAGCGGCCGACCGCTCCTTCACAGCGGCGTTCGCCTTCGTGTCACCGGACGGATCAGCCGCTGCCGGCATGTCCTCGTCTGCCAGTTCTTCCGCCTGCTTGATCACCATCTCTCTCATGTCCCGCAGCATCTGCTCCTGCCCTTCCGGTGGCGCATCCTGGTAAACCTGCATGATTTCGTCCTTGTATTCCGGAGGTGGGCCGTCACCCGTCCGAGCAGATTGCGCGATCCATGCATCGATGATCTGCTCGAAGGGCGTCGACTCGTCCACAGGCGCTCGAGTCGCCTGTGGGGTCCGTGAGAGCTTCTCCTCGGGTACGACTGCTTGGGGTATGTCCGATACCTGGCCATGGCTTGCATCCATGGCCTCTGCAAACTCTGCCTCCTCCTCTTCCTGAGCTAGATCATCTGCTTGTTTGATCACCATTTCACGCACGTCCTGCAGCAGCTGCTGACGCCCTTCTGCAGGAGCCTTCTCATAGGCCTCCAGGATCTCGGCCTTCTGCTCGTGCGGCGCAATCAGGATGCCAAGGAGCTCTTCGAATGACGTCGACGGGACTGAGGATGACCGCTCCAGCTCCGGCTGCAGCTTGGGCGAAGCCTCTTCGGGAGCCGCTGGCTGCGCTGGCGCCTGCGCTGGCGCCTGCCCTTGCGCTGGGGCCTCTGCCGGCCCGGGCCCACCTCGGGCTCCTGAAGGCGGGTCGCCCTTGGCCTCCTCATCAGAGTCTGAATAATAGCTGAGGCCCTGCATCTGAGTGCACCTACTCTACTTCTTCAACTTTCTCGTTGATGCCGAGGTCCGGCTGATGACGAAGCTGCTGCAGACGCCTACTAGATCATACTAGCACAGTTCTGCCTACAGCGTTCTCAATGCAGGATGGAACATGTTAAAGGCTGTGAGTCGATGTGGCCCTCTCATTGGCTGCAGGCTGGGGCTTGAAACCAGCGAATGCTGCGATCAATCCAGGAAGCGAACTTTTCAATCAAGCACTGCAGACATCCGGAGAATGCTCATTTACGAGGCTACTGTACACATCGTCTTATTATCTAGCTGCCTCGAAGCTGTCTACACCCCAACAACACATGCATCTCATACATCAGATTACTCGACCTGGCCTTTCATCCCAACGCATCTTCGCCCGGGTGCGAAGGCGTGGCTTGGTGTGTGTGGATATGTCTACGAAGTCCTGGATGCAGGGACACATGGATGACACGCAAAGACACACGTTGGCGCACGTTGGCGCACGTTTACGCACAAGCTGGGTCCCCCGGGTCACCTTGGTCCAGGCGACTTCCTCCCACACCGTCTTGGTGAGGTCCCCATCGAGGCTGTCCGCGGACAGCTCCGATGTCTTGTACACCACGTACCTAGGGCCGTGCAAAGGAGAGCCTAAGCTTTTACGAAGGAGTTCTGCAGACTCGCTGCTGCTCCGGATAGACATCGGAGTAGCTGCAGGCCGCGTGGCCTTGGCCAATGGGGCAGCGACACGCTTCCTTGTGGGCTTCCTTTTAGGCCAAGCCCGAGTAGCTCTTGAAGGAGGTGCCAGCGGCCGAAGTACAAGCCAAAGCCAGGCAACGCCGCATGTGGCACCACAGACTCTGACTGATTGTGGGGACCTCTTCAGCCATTCTCTGCAACTGCTGGCTTGCTGCCCAGGCAGTGGATACTGCGATACATGCTTGCTCAGATGCCTGCGAAACCTCCGCATTCCGAGGCTTGGGCAGCTAAAGCTGAGGCCAAAAGGGGAAGAGCTGGGGAGGCATGAGATGGCATGAGGCATGTGCCCTGTAGACAGAGCTCACAAGAATGCTCAAGGGCCTGGCCTCGGGGTCGTGCATCACATGGGCGTCCTTTCACGTTTACTGAACGATCTGGCTTTCACCGCAAAGGCTTATCCGGCTCATCCATGGTTACCGTGCCCCCGTCCTCCGGGAGATCCATCGATGCACAGGCGAGAGTCATTGACGAACAGAGTGCGAGAATGCGCTGGGACTTCGGGAGATAAAACTCCGACTTGCTGTTTTGCCTTCATGCCGCCATGCTACAGTACCGCGAGTTTCTAAGGCTTCACTACTCCAACATGGCCTTGGCCCCTCACGCAACAATGAACGGCTGCATGAACAATTGGTAAAAGAGATGCTGAGAGAGCATGCACATGTGCGCATCATTGCATTGCCACTGCAGTGTTATTCCTATAGCAACCGCTCTCGTCGTCGTCCTAGTGTTTGCTTTTCTGTTGCTGCTCCGCCCCTTGTATGTGCAAAGAGGATTTGGTTGTTCCCGCGAGGCACGCACGGTAGGCGTGAAAGGTGGTTCTGCGGCTCCCAGCTCGCACTATGTCGGCCATCCTCCAGGGACTCATGCTTTGGCGCTCCAGAACTTGATCCTCCAAAGGGGGCTTCCTGCTCTGCCTGGGAGGTTCGGCATTTGGAGAAATCGAAACTGTGCTCCCGCCACTCTGTGGTGCGCAGGAGCTGCTCCTGCCCCAGTTGCGCGTCTCTGTGATTTTGGCGTGGGACTCATGCTCCCGCCACCGTGCGGCGCGTGTTCTCGGTTGCCATGTGGTGCGCATTTCGGACTCATCTTATAAACGTCCAGGGTGCTCGTGGAATGTATCTTGGGGGTGTAGGGCTTGGACTGTTCGGGGCTGCTTTACTGTTTGGTGTCCACGCTGCCAAAATTCTGTTTGCTGCCGTCGTATGGCTTGTAGGGGTTTATGGAATCGTGCCGGGGGCAGGACACCCTCAGACAGCTCGCTCTACTGCCACTGAAATTCAAGCTTGCACTACCGGTCCGAATACGACTGCTTAAGCTACTCTTGCTAGGACTGTCAAGAGCTGCTGCTGCTGGTCTGTTGCTGCTGATATTTCTCTTGCTGCTGGGAGTGGCACACCAAGCGCGAAAGAAGGCACCAACCAGAGAGCAGGAGAAGGGAGACACTTCAGCTCCTTCTGTGCCACTGTTGCGGAACGAGTCTTATCCCCCATGCAGCTTTCAGTCCGCTTTTGTGTGCAGGCTTTTGCGCTGACGCACCGAGGGTTCTTGTCTCTTGGCCACGTCAGAACCAGCCGCAGCAGCACGGAGCATACGGCGAACCGCTATGATGGAAAAGACGTCGTGGCATCACGGAAGAATCTGTGAATCTATGTTGGGGGAGCCCCGAGCCGCATCGGCAGACTCTGACTAGCATCAGCTGCAGGCGTCAGGTGTGGGGCTGTCCGAGTGGTCGTCTTTGACCTTTCCATCGCGTCCGCTGAAACCTGACGAATCGGGCAAAAGGTTGAGACTAAGGGGCCGTGGCATGAAAATGCACTGACATATGGAAAGTGCGGCATGCAGGCTTTACAAGTCCATGGGATCACAGCAACTTCACTGAGGATCGGGCATGAACTGATGGTTCTGTCGTACCTTGAAATGGCTACACAGCTGCTTAAGCGGCTTGCAGTTTGAAGGTGGCGCACGCTCTGGACTCGAACCCGGATGGCTTCCTCGTAAGCTTTCCGAAAGCCAAGCTCCTGCTCGGGAGACGGCACTGGTTGTCACGCAAAGAACTCGTGCTCGCTGAACTTGGAGTTGGGATCGGGCAAAGGTATGGGGTCAAGAAATAACCAAAGCCGAAGTTGCAGCGACAAGTAGAGTGACTCGGCAGTTAGCGCTGATCGACCTCCGAAACAGCTCCCCGAGACCGTGAAACGTGAAACCAACACACAGTCGTAAACAAGTGAGTCAAGGCGGGAGGGCGAAAAAACACAGGAAATTGGGCGCTCGGACCAAGTTCCTACACATACAGGCGACCTACCGACCCATAGAATCCACTGAAGAACTGGCCTCGGTGCTGAACATGGCATAGGTCTTCATGCCACAGTTACTCCACCGCGCCACCCACGACTTCTCCTCTTGGACATTAGAATTCGAGGTTGCAGGCTTAGTTGGGGCCGTTTCGGCATCTACTTCCCACGCAAGTGGGGCAACAGTAGTCGTGCAGAATTGGGAGCCTCCTTGTCGAAGAAGACACCGCGGACGCCACTTCGACACTGATCTGGCTTCGGGCTTCCGAGCTTGCCTGCGCGGCCAGATGCCAGAGCACAGTGTGAAGATAATCCTCTTGTCACGCATGGAGATCGCGCCTGCCATCCGCAGCTGCTGGTAGAAGAGGATCGCCCGCGTGCGCCCTGGATGATGGCTTTTGCTTCTGAAGTCCGCACGTTCACTGAGCCTGCTGCTGCACCAGATCTGATCTAGTTTTGGATCCAGGCCTAGTACTGCAACATAACCCCTCCATGCTCGTAACAGTGCTAGCAGCTGGCAGCTTGCAATCTACTTCGTGCGAATGCCTCGCCGGCGACGCCGATGCAGGCTAATAAGAAGTGGATTCTATCCAGTTCCGAGCAGGGACATTGGGCACGAATCCTCAGAAAACTCGCAAACCATGAAGACCTGTCAGACCAGCTGTCCCAACACTTCCGACGATTCTGAAACCGCCATGGCACGTCCCTGCTCACCTTGTTCGAATTTGCCCCCTCGGCCGCTGAACCAGCGGAATACCTTTCCCACTCAGACAGGAAAGACAGTTGCAAAGGATAGGGCGCTGCAACCGGGCCGAGAAATCGAAGCTCTGCGGCGGACAAAGACGTGGCCAAACCCCGGGCAGGGCAGTGGCAGGCAGCGGCAGGATTGCATTTGGAGTTGTGTCGAGGAGGTGAACAGTCCCCGGATACCAGCAAAAGACTCATCATCGGTGTCAGTTTCAACCGTCAGTGATGGGACTCTGAATCTGTCGATATTATTCGCACTGACCCTATGTCCCTATGTGGATGTCGACAGTCAGATGAACTCGCGATGCAAACTAGAGGACCCTTCGCGGAACCCTCGAAGGCGATGTCAGCCGACTGACGCAAGCACAACCACTGAAGCGCAAACAATGCGGTAGCCAGCCCCAGGCAAGCCTGCATGCCATGGCGGTACCACATCACCTTGCCGGGCTTAAGGTTTTAGGATTACGACAAAGCTTTTACAGGGGTTGTAGACATGTTGCAGAGTTTAGGGTGTAGGGTTAAGGGATACCTTCAATGCAAGCTGTACATGTACAGTTCTTCGCTCCATCCGGACATCACCCATCTTGGCCGAGCCCACCGCCATCCATCTTTGCATGCGGTAGTCCCATATCACCTGAGCAAGTGGCATCACGGACCCCTTCTAAGAAGCCCGCACAGAATGTTCATGCCTATCACTGTTTAGGCTAAATTTAGAGACTTCAACTCACATCAGGCGCGTGGCATGGCGTCTGCTGTTCTCATACCTCTGCGGCAGAGCAGAAAATCTTTCGCGGGACCAGGACGGCGTCTCCAAAGACGGAGCAGCTCAGAATGTGGAGGTAAAACCGGTCTCAGCAACATCCTGCGGAGCACTGAGGCCACGGCAGCGGTATCCTTGTTCGGTGCATGTCATGCTGCGGCCAGTACATCTCCATGCGCTTTCCCAGACCCTGCGGAGGCTGGCTCTGGAGACGCAGGTGTACGAACCATCTCAGATGTTCCCTTTGCCCAGCGATGTTCAACACAGCTCTGTTGCTCTGTGCTTTGTCGCCATGTTATGTCATATCCTTGCAGCTCTGGGAGCACTGGAGGAAGTGCAGGTTTCAGCACACAGAGCCGCATCACAGGACTCCGGGTTTAGCAATAGGCCTTGGCTACAGTTCTTGACTCCCCTTATGCTTTCGGACTGCTGCAGCCGTCATCAGATCACGGACGGTGTGACTGTCAAAGACGAAACGACTTGTTTGACCTTCGTGCTCTCACCGAGTCTTTTCATGTCCAATGCCTCAGGCCGCGGATGATATCGACTTGAGCACTGGATGCGTCTACGCCCCTGGAAGCCTCTGAAAAAACTTGTTGCAAAAGCCGCTGCCTTCTGGTGAACCGTCCGTGTCCGGGCCTGGCTCCCAGACCCGCAAGCGGCGCCAGAGCTGTGGAATGTCGCGTGTCGGTTTTTGCTAAGGCTCCAATATTTCAGGGTCAGGGGCTTGGGGATTCACATGCCCTGGAACACCGGAAAGGGGTTTGGTGTTGCTGTCTGGCCGGAGTCTTGCCAAAAGCGTCCGGGCGACGTTCTTCCGCTTCTGCTTGATGCCCAGCTTCCGCCCCGCGAACCGCACCTGTTCGAAAGCTGTGCCGGCTGACTACTCGGTAAACTGCTCAGTTTTCTTTGCGGCTCCTGCTGCACCATGGGCCCCAACACCTCGTCAAGGATTTGGGCGAGAAGAAGAAGAAGGGGGGAAACATGACAAAAATGGCCATGGCTTCCATCTTGCGCCCAAGCAGCGATGTGTCCTGCGCTGGCCGCGCTGGCCTGGGGGACATTGTATCCGAGAGTCGGTCGCAGCCTCAGCAGAGGCGAAAGGCATTGAAGAGACGGAATGGAGCACAGCGCCAATATACACAACATGAGTGCCTCCCCACAAGCAACAGTTGAAGACCCAAGACCCTTCTACTGGCGGATCCGGGTTCTCATGCCTCGGCATTTCGGCTGCGAAGAAGCGGCCTTTGGCCTCAGTCTTACAACCACTCCGCGGCGCTTTGTTTGGTCCTAGAACCCAAGCCTCCTTTAGCTCGCGGCCCCTTATGTGCATACCGCATCCAACGAAAACGCAACTGGCCCATAGACTTCGTCTACATGTCTTAGTTGAGCCCGGCCATGGATCATCGTATTGCAAGGTCCACTGTCAGCGGGGCACTGGAGATTTTGGTCGGCTTTGTATCCGCTCTCATGCTCTGCTTTGCAGTATAGGATGTACCGATATACCTCTAGCCACTCTAGCCTCCAGCCAACGGTACAAATCGCCCGCCGAAGCTTCAATGGAGAGTTGTAGCCACATGGCCGCAGAATTGCTCGCTGCCGCCGCCGCCGCCGCCGGGCCACCGGGTGTGGCAGCGGTGGTGACAGCGGTGGTGGTGGTGGTGGTGGTGGTGGTAGTGGTGGTGGTGGTGGTGGTGGTGGTGGTGGTGGTGCCATTGAAGCTTTCATGTCATCCGGCTTGCAGTTTTACTTGTGCGCAGTGGTATGCTGTGGCGCTAGGCAACTCAGAAGGTGATCCTATCATTGTATTGGATCTGCGCTCGGCAGTGGGCCACCGGTAAAGAAAAGCTCTGCGCCCTTGCTCGGGCAACCCAAGAAACGAAACCCACCGAGAAGCCGGCATCCTGTGTGCTCGCTGCACTCAAGAAACCTGCGACCGGAATGTGTAGCATCTGTGCAAGCACTGACATCCCACTGATCTTGCGCCGTCACACGACTCATGAATCGCTCAGCCCATGATTGCTACGGCAGCAGAGCGGCAGGTCGCCTCTGCTTTGAGGTTGGAGAGACCCCAGCCTGGCCGCTTGACTTAGCAACAGAAGCACGCAGAACACTTAATCGCATCTCTAAGCCATGGCTGGCCCCAGCCCTGGAGTGACAACCTGTTAACCTCTGTCCAACAAACTATACCAGGAGTTCACAATCAGGAATCACATTCAAACAAGAGCGTCCTTGGCAAAAGCCGGCAAAGCCGCGAGATCCGCGCCGTGTCGGCCGCCTGAGCTTGCATATTCTGCAAAAGGAACTCCCGGCTGGCTTTCCCTCCTCTTCGGGACTGCCATATTTGCTCACAAAAATGGTTCCAGTAGGATGTCTCTACCAACGACTACACTGCGACTTTTTGTGTACACAGGCTTCCTAGTACAGTCGCACGAATCACTCTACTGTATGCTTTGACCCTGTAGAGGAAGTCACGCCTGGATTCAGCAGAAGCTGGAATCCACCCGGCGCAGGAGGACCGTCACGGAGTCGCTGTACATCGCCCATATTAAACATGTGCTGGCGCAGATTCTGAAGGATTTTCAGCATCTTCTCCGTAGATCCGAGTTTGATGGATAGGCGAGTGATTAAGTGAAGGGCTGGCGTGCCAAGACGTCAACCACCCCACACGGAAACTCCACCATAGCAGCTAAAAGGCTACCCACACAGTGCCCGGTCTTGTTGACGTCCCGGACACAAATCCCAAACCACCCTAAACTCTAAACTTTTAAACCCTAATCCATCCCTACAACAGCGCCCCGAAAATCGAGCTCAGCTCGCTGGCGGCGGCAAGGGCCCAGGCCATGGCCCGAAAAAGAGAGAAAATCTGGGGCTTTGGTGCTTTCACTTGGCTCCGCCTATCGATATCGAGGCGGGGCCTCGAAGTGGGGTGGGGGCTGGTCGAAGGAGAAGATTTGGATAGAAGCAGTAAGTATAAGTATGACAGTACTAGTTGTAGTAACAAGGATGGTCAGATTAGTCGTCATAATATTGACAATAACACTAGCAATAACAACAAAAATAATTAACAAAATAAGAATACTAATTACTAGAAAAAACGATAACAATAGCGATAATAATATCACATAATATTACTGACAATACGACTGTGCTACTATTATTAGGAGTCTAGCAGTCAAAGGCTACAGCTTCGGCATAAGCTGCTTCTAAGCTTCAGACCTATGCTGTTATAGCACAGTGCAGAGCCGACAGTCGAGCAAGGTGTAAAGGCAAGGCACTCCATATTTTTTGTGAAATACTTGCTTTGAATCGGCACCAGTGCATAGGCAGTGTGCGCCGTTTGCAGTTTTTTCAAGCGCCGCATCAGGACGTCTGCGGACTTGCCGTTCGAAGCCCGAAGCGGTGTTCACCAAGACCATGGGAAGACTCCGAGATGCCAAACAGCGCCACTCTAAGCCGCTGCCGATGAAGGCCTGGAAGCTGCCTCCGAGGCCGCTTTGGGCTGGCCCTTCGCCTTCCGCTTCCTTTATCTATGGGAAGAAGAATCGCGAGAAGGGAAGGACGGCACCGTGACCTTCGCCCTCCGCTGCGAGTTGGCACCGCGAGCAGCAGTGCACCGCTGGCGTCGTCGCCGATTCGCCGCGAGGGCTTGTTTCGTCGTCAGAGCCCAAGGCAAGGTCTCACCCTGCCTCAATTCAGTATGCCCATGAGCAAACAGCAAACACAGTTTGCAGTTGAACCGGAGGTGCCTGCTTGCAGACCTGCTCGAAGATGAAGAGAAGCTCTTCACCGAACTGTGAGGGCATCAAACCTCAGAGACAGAATTTTCAGCAGTTGCGCCGGCGGCGATTGGCACCGGTAGAGGAGGCACCCTTTCTTGTAGGCCAGATGCTGAAGGTATGCGCAAAGCCTTCCCCCTTGACGTAGTCTGTTTGAAACTCGCCACCTCAAAGTCGCAATGTTCAGGCTCGGCAGTTTGCAGAAGACTTGCTTTTCCGAGGTGCGGGCCCTCCCCGAGCTCCTGGCAGCCGTTCTCCCAAATGCAGAGACAGCCTCCTGTCTGCGCCACGCCCGCCACCGTTAGGGGCACGACGCCTCCCGATCCAACAGACAAGTCCCTCGAATCTTCTGATAATATCTGATAATTGATCAACTGTTCCACCCGCAGCGTCTGCCTGGGTATTCTGCAGGCACAAGGAAGCGGAACTCGGCACGGCCTGGCGGCTCAACGCTCAAAGGACAGCTTGTCACGGAGCGACTGGCCTGGCCTTCCGAGCTGACAGCCACTCTTGGCGGGTAGCTGCGCTGGAGGACTCCCTCAGCCACCTGCACCTGCGCATTCGCCGGATTGCTATGGCTGCAAATCCTAATCGATACCAGGAGATGATGAGAGAAGTCCTACATCTGTCGCGTTGCATGAAAAAGCCGGGCCATTGCACCTCCAGCTGGGCTTCGATGGCAGAGCGCCAAACCACCTCCGACAAAAAGCACCGGGTGAGTGCTCCACATGACTGCGGCGCCGTAGCGCCGACTCCCAAGCTGCCTCCCAGGGCTCCATGGTGGTGAGCCATCTGCGGAGCTGCATAGAGGGCCCGTAGTAAACCTTTTCGTGCTGGCATTTTCAGGCCCCGAAGAGGAAGACTGTCAACACAACCCACCACAGCTGCCCTGCACACCTCTCTGATCTCGATCCCGAGTGTTCTGAATCGTTCAGACGGCCAAGAACACATCAAGACTACATGTTCGGTGGCTACAGGTCTTCAGCACTCCAACTTCCGCGCCGAGGCACGTCTTCCGACTTGGGGTAAAGAAGCAGCTCAAGATCTGCAGAGATGACGTCCCCAGCCTCACGGAATCTCCGGGATGAATGGGGCAGGCAACCCCTGAAAAGGACCACTATAGATACGAGTAGAAGCCTTAAAGGACCCCGTTGTACGTACCCAAAACATACCACTGAAAAAAAAAAAACTATAAACCCTAGAAGCCTTGAAAACCCCTGAAAACCCTGAAAACCCTGAAAATCTTAAGCCCTAAAGGGAGGCGCCTGAAGGCTCTTTTTCCCTGGACCCAGCTCCAGGCCGAGGGTTGGCGTGGGATCCCCCATGTTCCGGGAGCCGAAGACGGAGAAGACGAAGCCTCTATTGGGACCAACTGGGTTCAGGGTTCAGGGTTCAGGGTTTAGAGGTTTAGGGGTTTAGGGGTTTTAGTGGTTTAGGGGCTTTAGGGGCTTAGGGGTTTAGGGCTTTAGGGGCTTTAGGGGGTTTTGGGGGCTTTAGGGGTTTACAGGGTTAAGGGGTTTAGGGGTCAGCAGCTCCGGATCGAGCAGTGTTCTAGTAAAGTTACATTCACGGTTTAGACAACACCCACCCACCCTTAGAAGCCCATAACATTGGACAGAAAAAAGTTTTTCATTCACATAAATGAACTCCAGTTACAGTTGACTCCATTCACAATTACATGACTTCATGTTGCGTTTGGACTGTCTTATATCATACACCCTGAACCCTACATCCTAAACCCTAAAGACCGGATTCTACCTCGGCGGTACCTCGCCGGAATTGCCTAAACCCTAAAGCCAGCCCACAGCCAGCCCTGAGCTTTAACTCCTAAACCTTAAAGCCAGCCCACAGCCCTGTACCCTAAATCCTGAACCCTAAACCCAGCACGCAGCCCTGAGCCTTAAATCCTAACTAAACCCTAAAGCCAGCCCACAGCCCTAGGCCTTAAATCCTTAACCCTAAAAGCAAAATTTGCCAAGGCAGTTCGTGGAACAAGGTAAATCTGTAATGATTCTTTAGGGTTTAGAATCCAACCCCAAGATCGGCCACCAGCCAATAAAAACACACATTTCACCAAAAAGAATTTGTGAAATCCGGCCTTAAACCCTAGGCCCGAAACCCTAGGCCCAAACTCTAGGCCTTAAACCCCAAGCAAACCCTTGGCCCCAACCTAGGCCCCAAACCCTAAGCCGAAACCTAAACCCGGCGCCTTAGACCCGAGGCCCTAAACGCTAGGCCCTAAACCCTAAACCCAGGCCCTAAACCCTAAACCCTAGGCCCTAAACCCTAAATTCCTAAATCCTTGCCTTAAACCACGGGTCTATTAGGGGTTTACATTATCATTGATAAAGAGTGTTCAGGGTTTGGGTGTTGAGGGTTTAGGGGTTTAGGGTTCAGGGGTTTAGAAGTCTAGGGGTTTAGGGGTTTAGATCATAGGGGGTTTAGGGTTCGGGGTTTAGGGTTTAGGGGTTTAGGTTCAGGAGTTTAGCGGTTTTAGGGGTCTAGGGTTTAGGGGTTTAGGGATTTAGGGGTTTGGGTGTTTAGGAGTTTAGTGGTTTACAAGCTTCGGGGTTTTGGGGCTTAGGGGTGTCGGGCTTTAGGGGCTTAGGGGTTAGGGTTGCAAAAAGAGACGCAGCTACGGCTCCGTTCTGACGACGGCACAAGCAGCAGGGCCGGGCCTCGATCTTTTGCCAGCTCCTGGCCCCCCATCTGCCCGCGCCAGCGCCGGACGACCAGCCCACGGTGCGCATGACGATCCTCCTGGAGAGCCGGGAAGGGGAGAGCCCGGCTGGAAAAACAGTTGCAAAAGCCGCAGCGCGAGTCCTGATTCGACTGTGTAAGCAGAGCAAACCAACAAGGTGGCTCATGGCCTGAAGCGTCTGCCGACGTTTCCCCGGCAGCAATGGTGATCCCCCACCAAAGTTGGAACATGGATTAAGGATGATGACTGCTGAATTGGCCCGCGCTGTTCCTTCCGGATAGTGATTTTTCAATTTTCTGGCAGCTGATGTGGAGATTTGCTGGCACGCGATCCGCGACCGGTCTCACTACTGAAGTCAAGAGGTCTCTTTCAACAGGCTTATCCGCATAATCGGAAAACTCTCTCCACACCCCCCCTCAGAGCACTATCTGACGTTGCGACATGGATCCTGGCACTTGGCTCCGATATTCAACCACATGGGAGTTTATAAATTTCAGGGTGCCCGAACAAAGACCCTAAGTTCAAAGTAGTAGGTTTCTTACAAACAGATAAAGTTATCCCCGATCTTCTGAAAGCCCCGAGTGCGCCAGCCCGCAACTTCGGAGCCAGGAGACACTCCAGATTCCTCAAGTCCTTCGAATACTCAAACTGCTCCAAGTCCAAGGAGATGTTCCTCAAGTTCGAATAGGTAGCTTTGAGCGACTTTTGTTGTGTTCTTCGACGCTTCGGGCTTCGGGGAATTTTACGGCTTATGTATCTGGCATTTAGACTTGTTGCAGCTACGTAAGTGCAGTTTGTGCTTTGGCAAAGCAGAGGCTCGTGAGGTGGCGGTCCAACTTCCGCGAGCCGTAGGCGAGCGAAGGGTTCAGGACGAAGTTGTACCAATCGCCACCCAGCAGGTAAAAGGCGAGCCGACGATAAGTTACATTCCTCAATACCTCGTAACGAAAAGAATGCAGGTAGCGAGGGAAGTCCTCTGTGGCCCAAGTTGAGACGGTCCGCTCGACCCGGATGGCACCATCTGCTGTCACACCGTAGTAGGTGGCATTCGTTAGCCGGGGTCCGTTCGATGTGTGAGTGACTGTCACATTGGTTAAATACTGGTAAGACCCACCAGGATCAATAGCCGTCAGAAAGTCCTGACCATCAACGAGCAGCTTCGAGCTCTTGTCATAACAAGATCAGCTGTGACAGTAGGGCATCTCAGACGAGCAGCGGAACCGCCATGATTCTCGGTCCAGCCAGTGACATTTACATCGCCGACACAGCCCTCCACCTGACGCGATACGGCGAAAATTCATCCGTGCCGGCAAATCAGATGCACGGCCCCTGCCTTGTCTACGTTGCACAGGTGCTGGGCGAACCTCGAAAATCGTGCTTTCTGGCAGCTTGAACGAAAGCCGAACCCTTCCCGTCCAACCTTCCACTGGCATTGACTTCCTGTGCGAATCTGCGAACTCTTCGGCATGGCCATTGTCACAACCAAGTACTATAATTGCTACTGGAACTGGCTCGCGGTCGCTACTACCCACAAACAGCACGAGAACTGGGAACGCTTCAATGATCTGGAAGGCTGGACCGGCGTCCTTCTGGCATGTGCATTTGGGCTCATCCATCTTGCAGACGAGGAAGGGTCGCGTGTCCAGAACCAGGTTTCGCCTCTGTTGCCTAAGCGAGCAGAGCCGCGTCGTAGCGTTGCACTGATGATGCCTTTTGCTTCCTCTCCAACCGGCTTTTGGCAAGGCACAGGTTTGGCTCGAAGGTGATGGATTCGCCTTCGGTGCCCAGGCCAACCTCCTCCCAGAGACCATTGGAGCCCGGCCAACCTGCCCGGCTCCGGTGTCTGACAGGATTGCAACACGTAGAATCTTGCTGTTATATGGCTTCGTGTCCACAAAGGTGCCTTCCTCTGCTTGGCTGCTCGGCTACAAGAGAATCCAAGTAATCGAGTACCTTCTGTTCCATGTTTTGACTTGTTTTCAAGATTCTACACAATATATGCAATAGCTTGTCAAACATACAAGACATGTCCCCGGACACAGACATATATATATATATATCTGGATATGTATGTATGTATATATATATATATATATACTCATTATTCTCGTAAGTCGTAAATCAGTAAAACCCAAGAAAAATAAAACCCCAGTCAAGGATCAAAACCCCAGTCACGTAACCACACGCAATGTGCGTTTGCAATAGCTTGCTAAGCATCTCGACAAGGTCCAAGTGGATGATGCACGATTCTTTCATGATGATTCCAGTGCATCATCTTCACCGGGGAACGGAGGCTATGGCTTGGGAAGTCAGACCTGCAGCCCTTCTTCAAACACACAGCTGCAACCAGTCTCAACTTATTCTGTCGTCTTACAAAGCCGGCACGGGGCCTATGAGGCAGAGCTGCGCATGAGACACCGTATGTAGCTTGCCGAAGAACTGATAGGCCACCTCTCTCTCGCAAGAAGAGACATTGTTGCGAAGCTAGGCCCGCACGATCTCTCCTTGTTTGCAGTGTAGTCGAGGCACGGCGAGCTCACCCTTCAAGCGGCTGCGGGCAGGCAGCCGCACTTGCACCTAAGACCGTGTCGACATGTTTCGACAAACCGCGGACTGCACACATGTGTGGGGCTGCACGGGCTTTGCTTGCCAGGTAGCGGCAGCTGAAAACCACTCTCCGTCATAGCTGATGCGGTCCCAGAAGCACTCGTTGTCGTGCCAGTTCTTGCCTCAGTGCCACTTGCCACTAGTAGCGGGCTGCGACCACTCCATGCAACCCTGGCCCTGAAGTGTTGGGAAGCCACTGATTTGCAAATGCAATCCCGAAGGTCGCTTCGTGGTCCCGTTGTGCAGTGCCACTGCCACGCCTGATCTTCAGGGGCGGTGCATGAATCCTTCCTCCCCCCCTGTCCAGCACTCTCTGCACCCTAAGCAAGCCCACTTGCATGCCTGTGATCTTCTTCGGGGCTGCGATGTGGAAGATCACGCGAAAATCCATGCTGTCCGCGGTCGGATTCGTCAAGATAACCTGCTACGATGGGGCATGCGCTGTGCCCCGTTCCGTCCCCCAAGCTGCTAAGCCCGAAAGCAAGCTGAGTGATGGGCACCCCTCACATGCATCAAAGCCTGTAAGCTCGTGCCCAGAAAATGTTCGAATTATCTGGGCCTCGTAACCATCGTTTTGCACGATGCTCTCGTTGCGGGATGTGAGCTCAACCCTCCAAGCTTGTCCGTCACCCCAGATCGGGCGCTTCCCCAACAATGGGTTTCCTCGTGCAGATTGCGAAAGTGTTGCGATTGTCAAACTTAGAAACATGACACAGCAATGATGCGCATGCGCTCAGCATGGACACGAGCAGCCTTACCAGTACTGAAGCATATTAAAGCCTTGCACATAGCAGGATCGGGTTCTGCCTTCAGAGAGGGTGGGCCAGAAACGCCCTTCAGCAGCAATGTCTCGAATCGTGAGCCGTGGAACTGGTCCAGCAGCATTCCTCACAAAAACACAGGACAGGGAGTCACGCGGCGTGGGCAGCTTCGAAGACTCCAAGTGCCAATACTGCCGACATGTCTCCAATCATTCAGGGGCACCGAGCATGCCGCTGTAGGGCCAGATCCACAAAGCCCTTCGCCCAGCCTCGTGCTTCCACGGGCCCAACACTGTGGAAAACCCAATCCAGCTGTGAAACACTCAGCACATGCTGGCCAGCTGCGGGCAACATGCGCGTGAACCAGATGGTGCTTGCAACCTCCTCCACAGGCACCTTTGCATGTACGTGCCGCAAGAAACATGGAAGTCCGGAAGTCAGCAATGGCTGTTCCGACAGATTGATCATGTTTCACACTAGCATGGTGAGGATGAACGAGCCAAAAGACACTGTGCCAACTTTGAGACCTCGAACCCCCAGCTGTGGGTGATCGTACAAAGCTGCAGGGCCCAGAGTTACTGCTACGTACCAGCCAGCACACCGGTCGGGCTGTGCTGCAACTGCAATAGGCCGCAGAGCAACCAAAACGCATAGAACTGGAGAAAAAAATGCAAAATCACCGAAAGGGGCAAGAACAGGTGAGCACACGAGGCTGCATGCCTTGAACCGGTTCTCAATAAAGCATTGTCTGCAGCCTTCACTCTGTTCTCTGCAGCCTGAGCACGTACCCTGGCAATGAAGGCAGTACGCAGCGGTGCTGTAGCCGGACCCGCCCACGACCATGGATGTCTCGTCTCCGAGTTCCTCCTCTCACAAGGCAGGACGTCGGCAGCAGGATTTCTGTGGCATCCCGTCTCTGGTCAGGTCCTGAAAGCCGGGCACGAGAGCTCCATCCTCCGGGATCACGTGTAGGTCGATGCAACTCGGCCAAACTCGGAATTCCAGCGTCGCGCTAGCATTGCCACCTCAATGCTGCACGGCTGGCTTGCAAGGTGCTGTCTTGTGTGGCAACACTGTGCATGCCAGAAGGACGAGGCACAGGTTGCGTTCAGAATTAACCACTGGTGCAAATATCTCCCGGCGCGGACAAGACGAATCTGATAGCCTCCATCAGAGTCGACACATCAGCTACAGTATGACAGCGTGAACAGAGAACGCGGCAAATACCCACACCAAAGGCACATTTCAACCACTGCTGCGGGCCATGCCTCCGTGGGAGAGAAGGTCGTGCAAGTCCCAGGGCCCGCGGCACGGCTCTCCTGCAATGGAGCCAGGAAGCTGTAACGGCAGCTGCTACTTTGTAGCAAAGAGGAGCAGATGCTTTTTGCAGTAACTTTTCCGAAGCGAAATCTTAGGCCTTCCACGGTCGGGCGCAGCGCCAAATGCTGCCCGGGACTTTGAAACTGGAAAGCCAGGGTGTCGATGTCCAGAGTGAGGTTCAGGTAGCCTGCAGCGGTGTCAAGCCGACCCGAACTACATCCAATAGGCCGAGGCTTGTGGTGCAGATTCGCTCTTGCCTGTGAAGAAAGCAAGGACGCGTCGGAGATTGCTCCGTGGCATTGCGCCGCATGGATCATAGATCTTGCGCCCCTGACGAGGCTGGACAAGGATGCTACCGTACAGCGCAGGCACTGCCAAGCCACCTGACGTTTCGTGGGAAAGCGGCAGTGAGAGGAGCCGTTGGCCTTAGAGCATCAGAGATTCTGCAAAAAGAAGAAACGTTCGCCCTGGTGCCGTAGCGCCGTAGTCACAGCACGGAGGGCCAAGCGCCTCCAAGCTGCACGAAACAAGTTCCAGGCCCATGGGTTAAGCTCCTTGGAGCCCAGCGACGAGCAATGCCAGTCTTCCGACAGTCCCATTCGTGCTTTTCCGTGCTGCCAGCTTCGACCCCCTGCGTAATCTACCGAGTCTCCCCACGTGGAGGCCCGAAGAGCCAAGAGCTCTGCACGAATGCTTTGGGGTCCAAGACTTCCTCGAAGGGCGCGTAGCGCAGCGCCTCACAAGGCAAGGCAAAGCAGATGCCAGTCAGCAGGGTGCGCCGCAAGTCAGGGAGGCGAGGGCCTGGGAACAGACCTCCGCATCGGCCATGGTCGAAGCTTCTGGGCTCTGAAGAAGAAGACAATTAGATTGGAACCAGAGCGAACGACGATCTTTCGATCTCAATCTATACTCGACAAGGGGTGGAGAAGGCTTGCAGCCAGATCTGGAGCTGCAGGAACGGTGGCTGTCTGCCAGAGCATTCAACTCAGCAAAGGTGGGAAAGCACATGTTGCATCATGGCAAGGGAGAGATTTTCTGCTCGCCTGCATCGACGGTTGTTTCGGCCGACGGCCACTTTGCAACACAATCGATCAAGGCCGCTGCGTGATGTCCGACGCATGTGGACCTACGGCGGATTGAAGTGTGCCAACAGCTGTGCTTGCTGCCAGGTCACTACCTACGTGCACTGTGCAAATTCGAAGTTCAACTGCACCAAAACACTGGACACAGAGGTCGACGTTTCTGCTCAGACATCGGAGTCTTCGTCTTCCTCCAGCTTGAGGGTGAAGTCAACCCCAGACACTGGAAACACCGTGCCGTTCCTCAGCTTGGGTCACATCCCAGTGCCAACACATGGACATCAAGAACGCTTTGCAGCCGTGCGAATTGCGTCTAGCCTGTTTCAAGGCCCGAACAGATCGAGTCAAGCCGCTCGACCAGGTTGATCCCCTCGATCATATCCCCAACGTCAGAGCGGAAGCAGGTGATGGGGGCCTCGCGATGCGCGACGAAGCGGTCGTCGAATATGGCGGAGCCCCAGTCCCGGTATTTGCGCGAGGCCTTCTGCACCCAGACGCGGTCCGAGTCCGTGAGTTGGGCCTGGCCTGAGAGGAAGCCAAGGGATAACTTTCTCTCCCTGTCGTGCCGTTAAAAGCTCTACCAGGGCTTCCGGGCGCAGGGAGCCGCGGTTGCACACCACGCACTCAAGGGCATCTTGCCAGAGTCGCATGCCACCACAGCCTCCGAGAAGCCCCAGTCCCGACTCAAGGGTTCTACATGGCTCCCTGGCCTCGAAGGTATTCGTAGTCCCGGCACCTCTTGCCCTTCACCAGCTGCCCGCCGCAGCGGTACTCACGATATTTCTGGCCTTGGAAGCGAGCCGGAGCCCTGCTGCGTTCGGCAGTTCCCACGTGCGGGCAGGAGGCGAGGCCCCACGTCATGATAACGCTTCAGATCCACCAAGCTCCTGAGACTCTAAACTCCACAGGGAAGCAGATCAAGGCGGCAGTCGCGTTTCTTTTTCGCCGACGAGGTTCACCCAGCCGGGCAGGCTGAAGGGATGTCTGCAGGTGATGTCCTCCGCCTGCAAAGCTGCACGGAGACTCCACAATCGACCGGCAACATGCCCGCTGTAGTCACTGCAGCGCCGCCATGTGCCACCTCCACTTTGGGGTTCGTCAGCTCCTTGTACTTCTTGCGAATCTCTCTGGTCGTCGGCTTCTCTCCTTACAGTATTACATTCAAGAAGCCTCTCGCACATCACTTTGCAAAGCAGAAATACGGCAAGGGATCGAAATCGTCGATATTCGACCCCGGGGTAGGCCGGCTGAACCAGGACCAGGCCCGGATTGTCCTTCATGAGCTCCAAGCCTGGCAAACAAACCAGCTGAACTCTGCAAAACTTCCACGGGTCAAACCAAGTGTGGGGACGGGCAGGTCGAACCACGCCATATTGAATGCGCGATGCTCAGAAGTGATCAACGCTGCACCACGGTTGGACCATGCTCGCGGCCACGGCAACTAGCAGTGATAAACACAGGTGCCATGCTCCTTCCTTGTCACAACACCGAAACTGCATAGCACGGTCCACAAAGTCGACAACTTCCATGCTAAAAATGCCAGAATTGAGTGGACAGGTGCGTGAACCCGACGCGATCTCTCCAGTAAAACTTAACAACAATTTAAAACGTCTTCAGCACGCTGTTCGCACGCACTCGAAAATAGAGCTCGATTCAGTTGTGCTAGAATCAGAAAGACAAGTTTCTGCCAAGTCGTTGCTGTCTCCGATTCCAGCTTAAAAAAGCATTCTGATCCTGCTCTGCCTATCCTGGAGATCTCCAGCTTGAACTGCTCAAAACTTGCTGTGTTTGCAGTTGCAGCTTTGCAGCCTCCATCCTGTCCGTCTTGTGTTGCGTCGAACTCTGGGGGCGGCATAGAGTTCTGTTTTCGAACATGCAAGGCATAACAGGTATAACGGACATGGACCCGTGATCAAATTCCTCGGGGAACGAATGATTCGGCCAGTGCGCTACTTTCTCGTTTGGCCAAACACCCTCCGCACGCCCTAGCTGCCTGCGGCGACCCAGGAGTATTTTCGATAGCTCATCCAGATCACCTCGATCTCCACGACTACCAGGTAGCCTCAGTCGCAGAAATAGAATGCTTGAATGCTTTCGTCGCCCGTCCCCTCGGAATTGACGCACCAAGAGATCTTACCCACTTCTGTTGGCTCCAAGGAGCCATGGCTGCACTGGTCGATGGCAAAGTAGTGTGCTGGCCGCTCCTTCCCCCAAGGCCGCTGAAGCGGTAGAGATGGGGGTAGATGAAATGAAATCCAGTGAGCGCTACACATCGACGCGTTCTCTACATGGCTAGGATCGGCAGGCTGGCGGCAGAGTTTTGCCTTATTAGCGTCCTTGTCTTCATAATCTTCGTTGAACTCGCTGAAAGACACGGTCTTGTGCCGGTCCTTGAAGTATCATCAAAATGTTATGGACCTTGAACTAAAGGAGACACTTAAAGCCTACCTGGCCATAGTCAATACTGGCCGCCACCGCTTCCCCCCCCACCCCACAGCCTGTCACAACTGCCAACCCGCTACATCCCATTCCCGATAACTCCAACTCGGGCACTGCAAGCTTCACAGAGTTTGAGCTGTAGACTTAGATTGATTGATTGATTGACTGCCTGTGGGTGCGAACACCACTGCATTTGCCAGGTACTGAAAGCTGCTCCGAGACTTGGCAGCGGAGACAGCACACCAGGACTAGAAAGGTGTAGGCGCCACAAAGCCCTGCTCGCAGAAGAAACAACGAAACATGAACATGTGCCCAAGGTGACAAGGGCATCCCCTCAGCACGGAAGCTTCATCATATGTAGACTTAGACTTTCGGCTCCCTTTGAGCAACGCAAGACACGCGGCACACCTGCCAGAATGTTGTACCAAGCTTTCCCTTGTGCAGCCTTCCTTATCCTTGAACTTTCTGTATTTGGTTCCGTGCAGTATTCTCAGACTCTCACAATGGTTTTATGATGTTCAGCATAATTTCTGCCACAAGACTGCATAAACAGTTGACCGGAAGCACCTTGAACTGGCCCCTAGCACAGTCTCCAACACCAAGGTGCCAGCTTGTGCCCAATGCTCCGTAACATTCCGTAACCAAGATACTGTATTGAAACAGCGTTTTTGCGATTGTTTTTCAGTGGTTATACTGCAGCTTCCGTCCCCAAGCGTCATCAATGTCAATTTGTTTCTAGGGAGTATAAACATTGCCAAATGGTTACGGACAGAGAATTGTTCTTGGCTCTTTTTGTTTGGCTTTTTGTTTTTGGGCCTGCCCGGGGCGTGGGTTGGGTGGGGTGCAAGGGGTTGCGGGGAGTTCGCGAGGTGTGGGGGCGGCGGAGGCGAGGCCCAAGTCTTACGTACCAGTGGACTTCCGAAGCAATATACAGATGGAAGCAACATACCGTCTTGACATGACTGAGATTAGACTTGATGCGATCTGTCATACAAGCATTGTAATATTCTATCTTATACTGATATTAATTCAATATGATATGTATATTGAGGTAAAACACACTCTTACATACTGCAAATATGTTACAAGCCAGTCTAACGTTATATCAGAAGACTCGTATTGCAATATGATTATATGAACGCTAGATCAACAACATGCCGAACGTGGCTAATATAATAGTAGACAACTACTCTTACTTACGGTTATTATTTTACATGAAAAATGCTAGTATTTGTTTCGATTTTCTTATGGTGCAGAATAGTTCATTCTACCATAAAACCTTACAGCATATTATATGTCGCATATGATGTTGCATTGTATTCTGATCGAATCTAATATGTCATGTTGTATTGGCTGCATCATCTCATGTCATATTATTTTCTATTCTGTCATGTTTTATCATGATTTATTGAAATGCATACCCTGTGATATAACATACCTTAGTAGATTGCAGTTTACTACATGAACTAACATTACATGATAGTGGGTTATGTTCTGTTATATCATGAAGTGTAATTGATATTGTCTAGTTTCGTACATGTATAGTATGCATTCTAAATGATTCTTCACTATTGTACCGTATTGTAACATCATTGAGAAAGTACCATATAGTTTAAAGGCAACCTGGTATAAGATGATAAAACCGAATATACTATAATATATAATATGGTTCAGTGCTATGATGTGAAACTTTTTGATAAGAATACTCTAGAAGAAGACTTTTTCAAGCACTAATGTAACATAACACAACAAAATATAGTTGTCCTACAGTGTGTATATATATATATGTACACACATGTTTTGCTGTGTCCATATATGCATATGTATAATAACAAGCATTACCAAACAGAATAGAATACAACATGTTATGGTGTATATAATATGCGGTAAGGCTGTATTGTATACTGTACTATTCTGTACCATGGCAGAATAGAAACAAACATTAGCATTCCTAATGTAAAATAACAACCGCGAGTAAGAGTAGTTGTCTATTAATTAGCCATGTTCTGCATATTCTTGATGTAGCATATATATTGTCATATAGCAATACGAGTCTTCTTCATATAACATATGAATGACTTATAATATATTTTGCAATGTCACCAAAACTGGAATTTACTATGGATGCAAGATTTACCTCAATATACATATCATATTGAGTTAATATCAGTATAAGATAGAATAATACAATGCTTGTATGACAGATCGCATCAAGTCTAATCTCAGTCATGTCAAGACGGTATGTTGCTTCCATCTGTATATTGCTTGGAAGTCCACTGGTACGTTAAGACTTGGGCCTCGCCTCCGCCGCCCCCCACACCTCCAGAAAAAAGAGCGAACTCCCTGCAACCCCCGCACTCCCCTGCACCCCGCCCAACCCACGCCCCGGCAGGCCCAAAAACAAAGCCAAAAAAAATGTCCCCTCCAAGGGAAACTGTCTTCTTGCAAACAGACCTAGAATCCTCACTTCTTCTTCAATTCGCTTTGGTCGAGACATGCAGCATTCCCACTGCCTAGAATGCTTCTTGGGGCTTGCACGGCATTTTGGAAGTGGGGCATCGGCGGAGCCCCAACAGGCTGATTCTGACCATAGCAGCAAATGGTTTTGTGCACATCTGGGCAAGTTTTTTCATTCGGTCTCTGTGCGTGTTTTCCTGTTGTGGTTGGAGCGGTGGGATCAAAGAACATACACGGCCGCTGAAAGTGGACAAGTGGCCTTTGCCGTGCGAGGGTGCTGCGAAGGCAGCACTGCACATGACTGATCATGACTGCACGTGCAAGCTGATGCAAGCTGTCTTGATGCACCGAGATTCCTTAAAGCCTGCCGTTGGCGGATGCTCGAAAGGATCCCAGTTAGCTGTCTTGTTGATCCGCTTGATGAACCTGGGCTAGACTACAACACACCACCGACCCGTCTTCAGTTTGCTTATAAAGATGCGGAATAATGCTTGTAAAACGCTGTGGATTCTCGGAATCATGCGAGCAATCTAGTGGAACTCAAGCTGTGTGCTCGGTTACTTGTGACGAAGGCGATAGGCTGGCTGGGGGGAGTAGAAATGCAGAATGAGCATTAAGCCGCAAGCCTCAGAGCGCCGCCGCATTGCATTTGCCGAGCCGCTTCTGCGAGTAGTCCACCACTAGCCACTTGTCGAGCAAGCCGCTGCTGACAAGCTTCTGCGCGTTGTCCTAACATTGATGCCGGGAAGATCTGCCCTTGCGCAAGAAACCACGCGATGCACTTGGCAGAAACAAGCAGAGCAGGATTTGCACAGCTGCACGGCCAAGGGTCAGAAAGCCTTTCGCTGGGTTTCTTCCCATCCGTGTCAAGCACGATGTAGCTGCTGACGAACTTGAAATGCTGGTGCCGGAGGATCTGCGCAACCTGAGGACATCGCGGCTGCAGAGATTCTGTCTGGCAGGGGACTGGCTCGTGGAATCCGCCAGTGGAGTGAGGCAGTCCCCGAGCAAAAGCGTCCAAGGTGCCCTTACTTCCAGCTCTTTCCAGTGGTCCTCTTTCGCAATGACGGCGAAGCAAACTCCGTCCTCGCTACCTGCGCTGTCTCTTCCAAAGCAGATCCCCCCCTCTCTCCATTCACAGAAGGCTCCATCTTTTGGAACACACGAGGTAACAGCATCTCAATCTGGCCCAGATCCATCAAACGATATCATGCATGGAAAGCTTTTTGTACTCGGATCACCTTCTTCACATGCAGCATCTTCTGGCATGATTCGTGCACATTGCTGCTTCACTTCACGACAAGGCCAAATTACACGTACCGCCCAACCGGGCGTTCACGTGTTTGCAGAGTACTCGCGACAAGAAATTGGGCGCCTGCTAAATACTCTCCTTGCTTGCAGTGATCGCACCATATCCTTCTGAAGATCAGGGAGGGTCTGTGAAGATGCGCAATTTTGATGCTGGCCCATCCTCGAAACCATATGACGGCTGGCCATTACCTTCTCAAAGGACTTCCCACCCTCAAGACCCGGGAGCGCCTGAGCCAGCCGCGCAGGAGCCGGACCCCTGAGGTGAGTTTCAGGGCATTACAGCTCCTGGGGCACTGGAGCAGGCCGGGCACCCGAAAAAATCACTGCCAGGGCACATCGTCTGTGCAGGTGTCCTGGCTCGATGCGGCGGCCAAAGTCCTGGAGCCATGGGGAGCAGTTTCCACATTCGCAATGTCCGTCATCCTTCTCAAGACTTGGGATCAACAGCTGTCATGTGCTACATACTGTCTGCCAAGCTGCGCAGCCACTGACAAGCAAAGCCGCAACATGGCTCCATGCGGAGAGTGTAGTGAGACCATGTCACCGAACTGAACAGTTTGGATGTATGAAACATGCCCACATACACGCTGCATGGATGAATGTGCGCATGAAGAATCTCGCGTCCTACAAACAGGTGCTGGACGAGAGCAACGCATGCGAGGGGCTCTAAAGCGGAGATCATGTCAAGAAGGGAGCTTCGTAATTCGCTGGCTGGTTGAGCAGAGTCCGAGAACGCTATGATTGAGGTTAGGGCACGCGAGGCCTTCGGTCCAGAAAGAGAGGGTGAGATCCTTTCCGCTTGAACTGCCCGCACATCCAATTCATCAATGGGACCGTGTTGGTCCCATCTTGACTACCAGCTATGGAACGAGGCCCTTGTACTCGGAGCCCATGTCCGCCGCATCCCTTCCGGCTTCGATGATAATAACCTCAGTCGAGGGGGCACAGTCCATTCGGGCTGAACACAGCAAAAGCCCAGGGCCAGGGCATCTGACTTCAGCCTGGCCATATCATACCTTGCGACCGCTACAAGGCAGCTAGAGAAACAGCCCCTTCGTGGTCAGCCCTTGCCTCACAGAGGTCAGCGGGGCATGCTGCACCCAAGATTTCTGCCAGTTGCTGAGGTGAGCCTGTCAGATAGCTGCACTTCGCGCACTTCGCCAGACTCTCCAGGAGCCGGATGCAGGAACTTTGGCCTGTCGTGTGTTCTCACTGTTGCAGATCACACCTGAGTGGCAGATCTTGGCGAACTGGAGGAGAGATGAAACGAAACGACGACGCCTCTCAAACTGGTCGCAACAGACCCGCTGCCGAAAGGACGAGATCCATGCAGACGTCCCAAGACAGGAGCGAAACAGACTGAGAAAGAGAAACACAAGCACGCTGTTTCCGCCGCCTCGTTTTGGGAAAGATGCTCAGGCAAGGCTTCAGGAATAGGCAGGTAAGGGGCCTTCTCCCCATGTCTGAAGTATACAAGATGAGCAGCACTCCACCGCAGCTTCCCAAGTCCGCAAGCCGCCACACTTTCTGACGTACCTCTGCCGGCATGTGGTTAGAGAGCTTCGGCAACTGAAATGCGAAGCGACACTGCAGTTTCCAAGGTAAAGGCTTGCATGACACAACAACGGAGTCGAAGTTTCTAGGGCAACTTTTGGCACTGCCGAGAAGCTGGAGCGATCTGCAGGGAACCCCTGCAGAGCAGAGCAGGTGATTTTTGGACCAGAACCAGATACTCGGCTACCCTCGGAGCACGTCTGGCCTCGAACGAGTTGGCCCCCACAACGGTACTCCATAATCTGACTTCGCCCCGGGAGCCGCCGGTATCTGTGGATGTCCACCAAGCAAGCTCTGCCTGGCTCTGCCGGACCACGGACAGTGCGACTTCAGCTAGCTCTCGTCGTCGCTGTCATTGTCGTAACCGGTGGTGGCGGGTGTGGCGGTGATGCTTGGGCTATTGGGCTATGTTTAGTTTGACATCAGGAAGGTCCCAAAAAAGGCTCCTCGCAGCAATCAAAAGGCCAGTCAGAGAGAGATGAAACAGAGCAAAAGAGAGAGAGAGAGAGGGAGGGAGAGAGCACACGCGGCGCGAGCGAGCGATCGAGAGTCGAGAAAAACCCAAACAAGGGAAGCCCACGCACCTAAACGCTCGCAAAGCGCACAAAGCCAAGACCCGACCCACCTGGCAGAGTAAAGGGATGCTGGCAAGTAGTGTCTTCCAGCATAACATCTCCTTTGAGCTGCTCGTTGAAGAATTTGGCAATGGGCCTGGGCAGCTGTAGGCTGGGGCGTAGAATGTAAGGTCGACAAATCTGTGTCATACCAAAGCCTGCAAAGACGTATATATTGATCAAACCACCACCGACCGCTCCTGCTGGCACCGCTCTTTGCGGTGTGTACTCTTCTTTGCATTCAGCAGTGAATTGTTGCAGTAGCAGACTGCTTTATCATTGTGAGTGGTACTGGTGACACTGCACCCCCAAGCTACTGCAAGGACTGTCCGCTCGCGCTGTCCCGAACTCCGGCCACACGAAAGCTGCCGATCCACCTGGTGGTGGGCCGCTGTCGTACTCTGCGCGACGCGATACCCGGGAAGGAGGGAATGATCAGCACCTGAGTCTTTGCATTCCGGGTCAGTGCTTTTCCTGTGCTAATGCTTGCATGAGCAAAATCCCTCCGTCCTCGTGTCGATTTTGCCGTATCTTCTGGGCTCACGATATATGACGACTGTCGGTCGTACAAGCTCATCCGGGAAGCTTCGTGCAATGGGTGCGAAACTACATGCGGGCCGAGTGCTTTGGTTCTGCGGTCTACTGCAATCTGCAACGCATACGCTTCCCCCATCATTCTCCCTCACATCCGTGTCCGACATGTTCGTTCCAGGCACGAGCCCCTCGTTATCACGGAGCGCCTGCATCGCCTCCTGCCAACGAGAGCAAGGAAAAGAGGCTCTCGTCTGTAGACCTGCTGATACTCACAGACCTTCACAGCAGCCGGGAAGAATGGAGACCCGACTCCCGGAAATTATGACGAGGCGGCCTCTACCCATGAGTATCCGCGCTGTGTATACATGATCCTTAGGCCGATGCTGCAACGTGCAAGGAGGTCTCTCAGAGAGGCTTCGCTGCAACACAACATGTCGCGCACCCAACATGCATCTCACACAGCGACACATGCGGGCAAACCCTCTCGCGAGCCGAGCGGCATGTCTGTTTGGAAAATAGCAATATAAGGTGCATCACATTGATCCACCGCGTAGTAGTGAGCCAACTCAATATCTGCAGTTTGCGAATCGTCAAACGATCTACCATGTGTATGACCTGGTCGGAATTTGTCCACGTCGTCCCACTGCGCTGACATATTGACACCTCGGTTGAAAACATTAACGCGAGGCAGAGTCGTTTGAGACAGAGCCTTAGCCTCCCAAACGAGCTCAAGCCACAACCACATGCGCGAAAGTAGACATCAAAAACTTCGTCCGGTTGGGAGCAGCTAACCTGAGCTGTGGGGTATATGTTCACCTTCGAGGGACCACGCTTGTACGCCGCGGAGTAGTCAACGGTCATCCAGGTATCAACGAAGTTACCCTTGACCAGCGCATCTGCGACTTCTTGCATGGGTCCCATGAGGTCCTCTCCTGCCAGGGGCACTCAAAGCACTGGCAACTTGTCTCGTCATTGACTCGCAACCAGACGCATGCCAGAGATTGCCAGAGTCTGGCCTTTTGTGTCCTCGGCTTGTGAAGCATAGTCCGGAGCGGAAGAAAAGCAACAGCAATCAACAACTCTCTAGCTAAGCGGTTGACGGTGCGCTGCAATCGAGAAAACCCACAATGCTCTGCTGACAAGGATCGAAGATCAAATATCGATTTCTAAAGTTGTACTCGTGCTGCCGGCTGAGGTGCTCCACCTTGCACCAGGCTTCGTAACTCAGACGTGCGAGAAGAGAGTTACTCGGTGTGTTACCTGCTTCCTTACTTCTATAGACGGCACTGAAAGGCAAGCTGCAACAGGCCAACAAGCAGCAGTTAAGCAGGACAAGACTACACCTTGTCCTGCAAATCAATGCTACCGAAACCTGCTTTCAAGTGGCACGAATCTGCAGCTCACTGGCCGTCGTAGACACGGAGATCATGGCTAGGCACGCCATTTGAGGCTGGAGATTCAGCTTGGCCTGGCAGCCGTGAAATCAAACTGAAGTCGACTGATGCTGCACTCCCCGTCTATGTCTATCTAGCAGCACCGGTGCACACCTAATGGCGAGATGAGGCCACGACTGCGGGCTGCACGTTTTTGGTCCTTGCCGCCTCTTGCATCTCAGCCTGAGGAGGCAGCGTACTCGGAGTCCAAAGCACTGCAGTGACCCTGTCAGCCTTGCCTGGGAGTTCTCTGGCGGGTCTTTGCCTTCAGTTCGTCCAAGCTGGATCAGTTCTTGCGTGCAGGGATTGTTTTGCTCCTTGCTCCTCATTGCAGGCAAAGCTGCTCTCTCGGAAATCGTCTTCTCCAAACATGGCCTCAGCTTGGCAGTAGCTGGACCAATACAAGACTGGAACGACTCCCGCACTCTTCTGAGACCTCCGCATTTATGTAGAGAAACAGCGTCAGAATGCCAGACATGAAGAGCACCATCCATATCCGAAAGCCGCAACACGCAGTCATGCCTGCCGACCCGACCCATTATGCCGGCTCGATCCCAAAGGCTGCTGGAAAGGCTACACATTATGGAGCCGGTCCTCGATACCCCAAGCAGGACCTCTCGTTCACAACACTTCCCTCCGTGCTGCCTTTTTCACGCAATGCGAAAAACTCGACTGTGTCAGCGTCTGCTCAGGGCCCTTGCCAGGCGCTCAACACCGCGCCGGCAGTCCTCTCCGAGTCATGGTCAAGACCCAGGCATGGCATGGTACTTGCCCGTGGCTGACAGCTCTTCCGAGTCGGTACTGTCGCGAGTTCTTAGCCGCGCGACAGCAGCTCCTCTGTGGAGCAGGAATACGCTATGCGGAGGTGGCCTTTCCCTTCCTTTCCAAAGACACCTTTGTCGAGGCAGAATGCTTCTCGCAATTTCTCGCAACAGGAGCAAAAAGGCACAGAGTCTTTTATTTGGATCCTCACTGGTAATCACATGCATCGGCGGCCTCCATCTACAACAGCAATGTGGTGCTCGTCCAGGAGATGTCTAGCCTCAGACCACGATGGAACGACCAGCTAAACTCATACTTTCGGGGGGGGGGCACCGAAGATCTTGGTGCCGCGAGAAACGAGCTCCGCCGAATCCCCGAATGCAGAGACATCCGGGAAGACGTAGTAGGCACCTTCTGGGCTACCACCCGGCCTTGGAAGTCAGAGGAGCGGGTGATGGCTCGAGGGTCTGTTTGGGTGCTGCCAGATACTCACGGCCACAGAATGGGGCGACACCCCGCTGATTGCTCGAAGTGTTGGATTCAGCAGTGGCAGTGGGCGGGATGAAAGAGAATGTTGCTTCTAGACCCTGCAGAGCAAAGCCTGCAAAAGGCTGTTTTTCCATATCTGACACAAGAAACCGGTCGAACAGATCATGATTTGAATGGGGAGGACACCCTCCGTTCACCAGCTGAGCCGCGGCGTTTATTGCTTCATCGGCTGAAGGCACTATTTCTGAGCGGTGCCCCCATCCAGTTTGCTTGTGTAGAGTGGCAGAAAATCTCGATCTTGTTCGAGCTCAGATAGAAATCAAGTCAAAAACAGGCCCGATTTAAGCGGCTCCCAGGTCTCGTTGGGGCCCTACTTGTAGTACAGCGGGTTCAGCCACAATCGCTGCCAGCTATGGACAAGTAGTATTGCACAAGCAAAAGCAGTCGCGATGGCGACCGAGGGCTCGACAAGTTGATGCCAGGGATGTCCTTCAGGCCTTGACTAGACGACTCTTCGAGCTATTTTGTCTACAGCTGACTATCAAGTCAAACCACCGGCAAAGATAGATGCCAAGATGCCTTCAACAAGCACTGATCGTCTTTCGTTGTATTGCGCAAGCATTTCAGCCACGCAGTCTTGCGAAGAACGTAAGGCAGTGGTTCCTGCGTGCTGCGTGAACCTCAGGACAGTACGGCTGAACGGAGGCGTTGTTTTGCTTGCCACCTTGTGCCCTCTGCTTCTCGGGCCACGGCGTGGGAGAACACGCCGAGTAGTAGTATCTGACGGACACTCACAAGATCATAAGGGGCTCACCGCCCGTGGCTTCGGACTCTCCAGGCCGTCCTTGTCTTGGCAACTTGTACAGCAGCTGCGGCATCCGGACACAGAGCCCAACCAAGCCGCCATCCATCCATGGCCTTCATAAGCGATCATGCGATCTTCACTACTGCGTCTCAAAATCTGCAAGGATCTGCTGATGCTTGAAACACCACCAGCGATGAAGAAAACAACCATGGACCACGGTACTCGCACCGTGCTCGAGTGCAAAACTTCAAATCTTGGCAAGTCACGTAAGTTTTGGAAAACGTGCTCGCGGCAAAGCAGCGCTCTGCCATACCTGACATGGGAATTCGACTGGCCAGTGAAACACAGAGGGATATTGTAATATCATCTTTCTGTCCCACCTTTGATGGCCAGGATGGATGGAGCGGTTGCTCCGGCACTGCCGCCGTAGTACAACCTTTGAAGAGCCGAGAGAAAGAGAGGGAGAGAGAGAGGAGACAGACAGAGAGATAGAGAGAATGAGAGACAGAGACAGAGACACGGAGTGAACGAAGACGACATGATCAGGAGTATGTCCATATGTGCATGTGTGCACTCTGTGTGTGTCTGTAAGCACGTATACATGTATGCACGTATGTATGTATCTATGAATGTAAACCAAAAAATAGGTATACATGCGCATCTATAAACACGTGCTCATGTATTTGTTCTACATACAAACATACCGAGACAGAGAGAGAGAGAGATAGATATAGATATAGATATAGATATAGATATAGATATAGATATAGATATAGATATAGATATATATGTATACAGTATGTATATAATATGTATATAATATGTATATTATATGTATATTATATGTATATTATATGTATATTATATATATATATATATATGCTACCCCCCCTCAAAGATCTATGCTTTTTCGCTCTTTGCTGTGATTTCACGGCTTGGCCAGTCTGCCAACGATAACCCCACTTGAATCGTAGCTTGTTGGGTAAAGGTTTCCTGTGAAGGAAACCAGGAACCAAAAAGAATAACCTTACAACTACCTTATAGAATACCCCCCCATATACCTTGAAGAATCTCATATAGGGTACCTTATACACTACCTTCCTATATATAGGCTACAGAATACCTTCTGTGCAGTACCTTATGGAGTGCCCTATATAATACCTTATAGAATGCCCTATAGAATACCATCTGGAATACCATGCAGTACAAAACCTTACAGAAGACCGCCTTTGTATCTTACCTTCCGTATACCTTACATATACCTTGTTGAATATTCTCTACAGTACTGTTTAGGATACCCTGTAGAATACCATATAAAATAGCCTACAGCATACCCGATAGAACGATTTAACTAAGGAAAATCAGGAGTTAAATTGCAGCTTGTTGAGTAGAAAAAAACTTACAGAGCACGCTTTCTACAGACCTTAAAGAAATTCATATGAAATGCGGTAATACCTTCGAGAATACCCCTATATACCTTGTACACCTTACTGAATACTCGGTAGCCCATATGATACAATTTTGAATGCCTTATAGAATACACTCCTATATATACAGCCCTAAAAAATACCTTACAAAATGCCTTCTGGAATACCATATAGAATAAGTGTTAGACTGCGCGACAAAATACTTTGTAAATTGATCCTATATGTCCTATATATGTTATATAGACTACAATCTGGAACACGTTATACAATATCTTATAGAATACCCCACGTGTATGATACCCCATGTATAATTTATAAAAATATAACCCTACATGAAACCGCCTTTTTCGGAAACGCAGCGGTTCGATACCAGCAAATTTTCTGGAACGACACCCTTCGGAACATTTGATGCTGTCGAACCGCCCTTGCTTGTTGTCCGTATTTGCAATAGACACCACAGCGGTTCGACAGTACCAATGTTTTGAAGCAAACCCTTCGGAAAATGGTGCTATCGAACCACCGTCCTAAGGTCTGGAGGGTGCTGCGGTTCCGATAGCAGCACATTTTCTGAATCGACACCCTTCAGAAAATTTGGTGCTACTTGCATCGAGCCGCCCTTCGCTGTCGTCATTGTAGCTTGTTGAATAACAAATTTCTATGAAAGCGATCTGGAATCTAGGCGAGCTGCTTTCAGAATACCTTACAGAATACCTTTGCGCCCTAGGTAAACCCTTATAGAATACCCTTTATATATACCCTAGATATACATTATTGAAGACCCTGTAGCCTACAGGATACCTTATCGAATACCATCCTGTCTAAACACCTTGTAGAATACCTTAGACGATAACTGATGGAACACCTTATAGAACACCCGATAAAATGGGCTATCGAAGACTTTATATGATGTCCCCTGTATATATGCTACACAGAACACCATGCGGAATACTCTGTAGAATACTTGGTAGAATAACCCTTATATATGATACCCCTGCATACCTTATATATGCCCTATAAGCCAGTTGGTGCTATCGAACTGCCTGTCGCTGTCCTCATTCTCGGAAAACGCAGCGGTTCGATAGCACCGAAATATCCAAAATCACCGAGCTATTAGAAATAGCTCATTTCGGATAACTCGGATAGTTTCCAAAATATCCAAATTATCAAAATTTATCCAAATTATGTGAAATAGCTCAATTGGGACGATTCAGATATAAGCCGTGAAGTTTCAGAAATATCCGAATTATGTGAAATGGCGTGCCAAGCGGAGTAGCGGTTTTGTGACACGAAGGGCTGCAACATGAATGACGCAGTTGCTTCAAGCTGCTTTGCACATGTAGCAGATATGCACCTGCAGACTGCCCTATGCAGACTGTCACAAGAGCCGATACAACAAAAGAAGGGCAGAGACCACACATTGTAAAATTGAAACACATTGAATTTCAATGCGGCGGATCCAAGATCCAAGATTGCACGGGACTCCTGGGCGGAATCTTGGATTCAGGGAGGGCCATATTGAAATTTTGAGGCTATGTTGAATTTCTATATGGTGGATCCTGGATCCGTGATCCAAGATTCCTTCCCAAGAGTTTTGGGGAATCTTGGATCTTGGATGCGATTGAAACTCAATGTGGCTCAATATTCGAATGTGGTCCTCCGCGGGGCCATTTTGAAGTATTGGGCCGCATTGGGGTTTCAATACAGTCGGTCTGTGCAGACATTAGGAGATGATTTGAGAAACGTGAGTGGACGGAGGGCTTTGTGCGGTCATGGGAAGACCATCGTGAGTGGAAGGACGCTCATGAGGAGATGATCGTAAGTGGAAAGGGCTGAAAACAGATGAAATACATAGATCTTTGAGGGAGGGGGATACCATATAAATATACATATATATATATATATATATGTACATGTGCATATCTGTTTATCTATACATGACTCGTACAAACATATATACAAAAGTTATTGATATGAGAGCTTGCTAGATCGATAGATAGATAGATTGATGGATATATAGATAGGTAGATAGATAGACTACATCTGTATCTAAATAGTCGTCAGTTCACCTGGTGTACGTTTCATCGCTGATCGCCATGAGATCCTTGGCTGCTCCATTCAGGCATGCAACAGTCTCAGGCTTTCAAGGATGCCAATGGTCACCACAACGCAACCAGGCAGACTGGCTCAAGCGAACCTGCGGAACCACTCAATGAAGCCAAAACGTGTCCGAAAGAAGAGAAACCAGAATCCCAAAATAAAACGACGTTGATAGAAGGAACCTTCTCTTCAAGAACCTGACTGATGCGCTTCAGCTCGTCGGATCCAGTGACGGTGCCCAGCGGATTTCCAGGCGAAGACAGCACGGCAAACTGCGAAAGGAGCAAAGTCCACGCGCAGAATGGATTTATGCGGTCTTGCCGTTCTACGGTGCACCAGGGATGCCAGAATGAAGGAGTGTACAGCAAGCTGCCAGCCTTTGTCCTGTGCGTCACTGCAGCAGCGATTGCCTGCAGTGATGGGAATATCAGGAACAGACGACAAGCCGGTGACCCAGCAGCCATAGATGCTACACACTATACTATACTGGAAAATCAACGAGCCTCCGCTGTGAGGACACCATTCTTCAAAGGCACCTCCACAGGCTTGCCACCTGCACAGGGCCCACGAGCAAACGCTTTCAGGCCATGACCTGCCAAGCGCAGGAAAGGCATCACACGAACACCAGCCTGCCATCACCACCGCCTGCCCGGCATCGACTTGACTACTTTCGTTATCTTTCGTCTTCTCCCTTGCTCTGACTTCTCTCGCTGGCGTGAGTAGCCAAGCCGCCCACTTCATGTTTGGCCAGTTCGGGGTTGGCACGATAACCTCATCACCCTCATTCAGGAAGGTGTGCAGGATCACGGTGACCTTGAAGGTAAGCACCATGCAGATGCCAAACTAGGCATGGATCTACTGCCTTCTAATCTCTGCAATTACGGCATTGAACCCAGACCGAAAATACCGTAGTCTGTCGAAAGCCATAGCAAGACTCGGAAATATTGACTCCTGAAAGAGCAAGGGCTCTGCCAGGAGCCAGATGTACATCTTAGGAGAGCGCTGCTACAAAGCTGTCGAACGAAGTCTCCGTGAATCCAACGTGTCGGAAGACTTCTGCGTGCTGGCCGTGTCATTCCAAAATGCCGCCTGCTGCAGATATTGTATGGAGTTTTGCCACGACATAAAAAGGACCGTGCGTTAATGCCTGAATCCTGGCAAACTTGAAGAGTTTATAAAACGTTCGACTGGTTAAGACTTCCTTCGGCTATTCGCATCATGTAACATATTAAATTGAGTCAAACACGAAACTGAAATCGTTCTTGCAATGTCGCAACACTCACACCCGCCTGGGAGATCAGCCGCCCCAATAATTTCCGAAGACCGTGGGAAGGACGGGCCAGGACGCTGTACGTGCAGTCTGGCCTCTTGTCTAGCGTAAGACTTTTCAACTGGTGTAAAAACCTGTCAAAACCTACATTTTGGGAGGGCTGGGGTTTGCAAAAGTGCGGAGCTGTTTTTCTCTCGTTGACCTCGATCCAGTCGCTGTCTTGGATCGCTCAGGTCGGACGGATTCAGAAACTTTGGATACCTGTTCATGTCGAAGAGAGAGCAGTTCTGCTACAGTGTAAGCATCTAACTCCTGACATCGGGAGAATTCTGGAAGTGGGAAACGCCCTTTTAAAAAGGATGTCTTGGGAAGCAGTCAAGGCGAAGTGCACTGCTGATCGTTGTTGGTTCAATGCTTGCCCGTTGGATCTCAAACTCGACTGCTGCCGGCTGGAAAGGACGAGGCGAAGCAAGAACGATGAACTCATTGAATTAGTTGTCCGATATGGATCAGCAGAATGCACACTGCACAATAGGACCACGAGACCACAGGACCACGAGTCTGGACGACATTGCAAGGCGATGTGGTCGCCAACCTGGACCCCTGTCCTGGACAACACGACCGGAGATGACCCAGGCTGGCTCTTACAGCTGCCGAGATGCCGCCTCCATGCCACCATTGCAAACCACGATGCTGTCTGGATCCACTGCCGACCCGTACTCCTCGCGGCGCTTGCGATCAATCGCCGACCTGCGTTTCCCTTTCCAAGCCCTGCCTGCGATGCGCGCTCTGCCAGCGCAGACCGAAGTTGTGGAATCCCAGCCGCGGGGGCGTAATGCACATGTCCCTGACGAAGAGCTTCTGAACACGACTCCTGGCTGCGGCTAAGCACAAATCCCCACACACTCTCACATCGAACTCCAAACGAATCGTGGAACAGCGACGATCAGAGAACTTGAACAAGAGCAACATGAAAAACACGTACACACAAAGCTTAGGAACTGCTTCATTGAAAACAACAGAGGATCTTTGCAAAGCTGTGTTTTGGAGACCTGCGTGGGATAACATGGGTGTGTCAGGGACGAAAACGTCAGACGAACACATGCACGGTCCTTGATGTGCGAAGGCGTATCAAAATCTGGCCGGCCTCACGCACAAGAGCGATGCTTTCGAATGGTCTGCGAGCATGCAACGACCATGTTTGGAGATCTGCGATAGGGCCGCAACCTATGTGCCAGTTGATGACGTCTTTTCCAGCATCACGAAGAGCCATCGATTTGCTCATGACCTTTCCCCACGTTGCAAGGTAAAGCAGCGGCAGACGAGGTTAGCAACAAACCCACAAATTGCATTGCTCACGACATTCGAAAATAGGTAAAAAGGAAGCTGTCCCAACAGTGGCTCGACAGCACTCTAAGTCAGCACGACTTGACGAGTTCTGCTGAGGGCTGTGATGCTTGGTATACAACGGTGCGTTGCAAACATGGATGCCCAAGAAAGTTAAAAACTGATGCTTCCACAAAGGACGTCAGAGCATCGCACAGCAATTGCAACTTCTTTCGCTGGGACCACAGTCCTTGCTCGCTCATGGACTGCGGTTCTGCAATGATGACTTTGTCGAATCCTCTCTCGCCAACTGCTGCGCAAGGAGTGGACGGACGAGGAACGTTATCCTCAATTTAACTAGCCTTGTATTGTCGTATCGGTAAGAGTGCCGTGCCAGGTCGCTTTCTGTTGGACTTCGCCAGTGACTTGCCATGGCTTGCCGCAGTCCCTTCTGAAGCACATTCCGGCGTTCAGCATCCCACTCTCTTTCGAAGGCTCTCATTCGGCGGGCAGGCCAAACGCAGACTTGTGCAGTAGTACCACACCCGAGTTGCGGCACGAAGCAATGGTATGCAAACTTGACTGGCCCAACAGAAACTCTGGAAGAGCCACAATAACAAAGGCAACAACAAGTCCATCGATTAGATGTTAAATGCAACTCAAGAGGAATCATGACAGGAACTGAGCTTCTTCCGGTGAAGGTGCATTGACACTCAGAACCTTCTTGTGTAATGCAGCATCATGCGAATGCCCGGCCTCTCGAATTCCACTCCCGGGAATCTGTAACATTCTGCTGGCCAAGCGAGGCTGCCATACCATCTTTTGTGCCATTGCAGCAGATCGCGTTTTGCCGGTTTGAATCTGCCTGACTGGTTCTTCAGCAGGATGCATGGCCCGCTGCCGCAACTGTTCAGATTGGCGTTGGACCACTTGCAGCAAACATGGCAAGATAAACGCGATACCGCGATCTGTTTCGTGTAAGGTTGTGCAGCTGTCGAGCCGGACCGGAGAAGCAGCAGCTTAACACAACTCGAATCAGTAAAGTGGGAGCAGACGGCAACGGAATATTATTTAACTTTCTTTGTTTTGTTTGATAAACGAGCAAGCATGCATTCTGGCGAGCCACTTAGTTCCCTGTGCCTGCGCAACACGCCCTTGGTAGCTGCAACAACATTTCATCACACATGGACTGCTGATGCCTTTTCAACTGTTTTGATGACCACGAATGGCCTTGAAACATGTTTCCAGGCATAGCAGGCAAAAGGTGCATCAGTGTCGATCCCTGGCAGACATCTTCCGACAAGGCCCTTTCTCTCGAAGTCCTCATGCGTGTCTGCCTTGACATGGAGGCTGCCTCCAAAATTCGTCACAATTGGCCTGCAGAAATCCCTAGGCATGCAACCACTGTGTCGATGATCATATTGTATCATACTTTCAAGAAACTGACATTCAACCCTTTTTGTCAGCGCCATGCGCGCATGTACGTTGCGCGC